GCAATATTTTCCTTCAGCTCCCACTATTGCCCCCTCGTGGTGATGATCCCCAGTCCAGGCATTTCCACTGAAAACAGATTTCAACATCTGGTGTCACAAAATCCTGCAAAATGTTGGAACCTTGCGGCTGATGATTGTTTGTGCAGGTCGAGTGTCGTTTGCAAATGTGACAATAGGACCATAATAATCTATATCAGTGGTTCTCAACTTTTCAAATGCTGTGACCCCTTAATTCAGTCTCTCATGTTGTGGTGACCCCCAACCATGAAATTACTTTCATTGCTCCTTCATAACTGTAATTTTGCTATTGTTATGAATCATGATGTAAATATCTGATATGCAGGATGTATTTTCATTCACTGTACCAAACTGGGCACAAATACCTGATACGCCCAAATTTGAATACTGATGGGATTGATTTTGTCATTTGGGAGTTGTAGTTACTGGGATTCACCTACAATCAAAGAGTATTCTGAACTGCACCAATGATGGAATTGAACCAAACTTGGCACACAGAACCCCCATACTAACAAAAAATACTGTGTTTTCTGGTGGTCTTTGGTGACCCCTCTGACGCCCCCTCATGACCTCCCCCCAGGGGTCCCGACCCCCAGATTGAGAAACACTGATCTATATCTATATCTTATCTATTATATACATAATAAAAGTAAAAATATGGATGTGTGTATGTGGTTGGGGTGCCCCCTTCCACAGATATGCTACCACTTCCACAAACAGCTTAATTCACAGTGCTGAGGAGCCACCAAAAGCCCTTCCTCCAATGACATTTCTGGTTATAGCGAGTGCCATGAACATGTATCCCAACCCCTGCCAATATCTCCCCCCAAAAAGCCATACTGCCCACCACTCAAGAAATGCTTTCATTCGGGGACAACTTCATCCTAGATTTTATGTGTTTCCTCCACCACATACATCCCAGTGTTTCTTACTCTCTCAATTGGTGTGGCATTTGCATGATCCCACCCACTCCCTCTCCCTTAAACCTTTCCTACTCTTCTCAACTCTGTTCTGCACAACAAACAGAGCAGAACTAATCAGCAACTAAACATACTGGAGGAGTTTGGGGGATTGACTCCACATGATGGAAGTTGCAGTTTATGTTGCATGAAGTCAGAGCACTGTGACACCCCCCCCCCCCCCATGACAATGGACCTGGATCACATTTGGCACACAGAACCCCCATAACAAAAAAATACTGGAGAGATTTGGGGGAATTCACCTTGATTTATAGCTGTTGTAGGTTTTGGGATGTATAGTTCACTTGCAATCAAAGGACCCCAACAATGATGGCCCTGGACCTCACTTGGCACATGGAACCACTATGACCAACTGAAAATACTGGAGGGGTTTAAGGAGCACTAATCTTCATTTCTGGAAGTTGTAGTTCACTTACATCCAGAAACACTGTGACCACCACCGATGACAGATCTGGACTAAACTTGGAACACAGAACCCCCATGACCCACCAAACCTACTGGAAGGATTTGAAGGAACTGACCCACCAGTGGAAGTTGTAGTTTATCCTGCAGCAAGAGATCAGACTGAACCCCACCAATGATGCATCTAGAGCAAACTTGCTCAACATGACAAACTTTTACTGCTAATGGAGTTTCAGGGGGTTAATCTGACATGATGTGAGTTGTAGTTCACCCACAACCTTATGCATTTTGTAAAATAAAAAAAGACCATTTCAAATAACCTGGGCAACGCTGGGTACCCAAGGTAGTAAAGACATACAAAACAGTTATGATTGCAAAGAATCATAGAATCATAGAGTTGGAAGAGACCTCGTGGGCCATCCAGTCCAACCCCATTCTGCCAAGAAGCAGGAATATTGCATTCAAATCACCCCCGACAGATGGCCATCCAGCCTCTGTTTAAAAGCTTCCAAAGAAGGAGCCTCCACCACACTCCGGGGCAGAGAGTTCCACTGCTGAACGGCTCTCACAGTCAGGAAGTTCTTCCTCATGTTCAGATGGAATCTCCTTTCCTTTAGTTTGAAGCCATTGCTTCTGCGTCCTAGTCTCCAGGGAAGCAGAAAACAAACTCCCTCCCTCCTCCTTATGACTTCCTCTCACATACTTATACATGGCTATCATGTCTCCTCTCAGCCTTCTCTTCTTCAGGCTAAACATGCCCAGCTCCTTAAGCCACTCCTCATAGGGCTTGTTCTCCAGATTCTTGATCATTTGAGTCACTCTCCTCCGGACACATTCCAGCTTGTCAATATCTCTCTTCAGTTGTGGTGCCCAGAATTGGACACAGTATTCCAGGTGTGGTCTAACCAAGGCAGAATAGAGGGTAGCATGACTTCCCTGACCTAGACACTAAATCCCATTGACTTCTTTTGCCGCTGCATCACATTGTTGGCTTATGTTTAACTTGTTGTGCACGAGGACTCCAAGATCCAAGGTCTAAAGTTTCTGCATTCATAACTGCTCAACTAGATGTTTGTAAACTAATCTGCATGGTTTCTTATTCCTTATTTCATTTTGAATTATCATCACAAACAAAAACAGAACACAATCTTAACAAAATCCAAAGAGAATATGGTTGCAATAGTGAGCTGAAAGTTTACTAGAGTTGCACAATGCAAACCATGTTTGCTCAGAAACAAATTCCGTAGAGCTCAATGTGTTTTAATTTCAGGACGGTAGGTACTGGATGGTAACCTCTTTCATGAAAGTGCATATGGGGGCACTGCAATGCTGTTTTCAATCTTGAGCGTGCCAGGTCCTTCCACAGCAAAACAGGGGCACACAAAATCTTGGAAGAGGCCACGGAAAGTATACAAGTGCTGCATGATGTCTGGGTTGAAAAATGAGAGGCTCCCTTTGTCATAATCCAGCAGAAGGCCAATTCTCCAAGGTGGGATGGTCAGCCTGATATCTGGGGTCATCCCATTGTTGAGAAATTCATAGGTATGTCTGTGAGAAAAGAGAGAGCGACAAACACACACACAAAGAGAGAAGTCCTTGAAACTGCAGGCTCATACAATTGGTTTTCCTTGCTTTTACATTTTCCCATTAGGCCTAACTCAATTTCTTTCCATCCACAGATATATAAACTAAATTTTCTTAGTGTCCAACAGACCTCACTACCTCTGAGGATGCTTGCCATAGATGCAGGTGAAACGTCAGGAGAGAATGCCTCTAGAACATGGCCATATAGCCCAAAAAAACCGAGAACAACCCAAAGAACCAACTTCTTCTAGTAGTTATGAAAACTGTTCAAAGAAGTTAGTAGCAGAGGGAAACTCACATCCCGGATCTATTTTCAGACTTCAGACTTTTTCCCAATTTCAAACTTCTAAGATAATATATGAAAAATGGATGAAGCAAAAGAATTAATACAAGTTACCCCTTTCAGGCCACTGGACAGTTGCTAATATGATTTTTAAAAAAAGTCTGATCATGATGGCAACAATAAGTGTAAAACCCATCTGTCTGGTGACAGAAGTCAACTTTCTTCAGTGAAAGACATTGAAGTCTGTTATTCTATTCTATTCTATTAAATATAATTGGAGCCCCCGGTGGCGCAGTGGGTTAAAGCACTGAGCTGCTGAGCTTGTTGATCGAAAGGTCGCAGGTTCGAATTCCAGGGAGCGGCGTGAGCTTCCACTGTGAGCCCTAGCTTCTGCCAACCTAGCAGTTTGAAGACATGCAAATGTGAGTAGATCAATAGGTACTGCTCTGGTGGGAAGGTAAGGGCGCTCCATGCAGTCATGCCGGCCACATGGCCTTGGAGGTGTCTATGGACAACGCCGGCTCTTCGGCTTAGAAATGGAGATGAGCACCAACCCCCAGAGTCAGACACAACTGGACTTAATGTCAGGGGACAACCTTTACCTAATTAATTAGTTATATAATATGATGTATATAATTATATAATATAATGTGTGTGTGTATACACACACACACACACTGATATTGTACTATGCTAATAATTAAATATATTGTATGTAAATATACCTTCGGGGTGAGAAGGCGCCATATAAATGTCATAAATAAATAAATAAATTTATAGTTCACCTACAATCAAAGAGCATTCTGGACTCCAGCAACAATGGAATTGAACCAATCTTGGCATGCAGAACTCCCATGACCAACAGAAAATACCAGAAGGGTTTGGTGGGCATTGACTTTGAATTTTGGAGTTGTAGTTCACCTACATCTCGAGAGCACTGTGGACTCAAACAATGATGGATCTAGACCAAACTTGGTACAAATACTTGCTATGCCCAAATGTGAACACTGGTGGAGTTTTAAGAAAATAGACCTTGACATTTGGGAGTTGTAGTTACTGGGATTTATAGTTCACCTACAATCAAAGAGCATTCTGAACTCCACCAAAGATAGAATTGAACCAATCCTGGCATGCAAAAGTTCGATGACCAATATTCTTTTCCCTTCCTGGTGGACCATCACAGACCAAGAATCAGGATGGGGACAGTACCTGGAAGCAGTGACCGTGTGCCTCATGCACCAGGAGGAATGGGTCATGCCCAAATAGCTGTCCCTCGATGCATTTTCAAAAGCCACGCCAACACGGTATTCAATTTTTTCGTCAACATATACCTCCCAGTAGTGTTTTCCGTGGAATGGTATTGGGTTTCCCAATATCGCGATGGATCTGGCAAAAAGGAAATCACCAAATCCAAGAATCACAAAATCATAGAGATGGAAGAACCCTCAAGGGCCATCTAGTCCAAATCGATTCTGTCATGCAGATACACACAAGAAAAGCACTCCTGACAGATGGCCATCCAACCCCTCTATAAAGACCTCCAACGTAGGAGATTCCAACACTCTCCAAGGCAGCATATATTCATGCCTTTGAATGGTTCTATGCATTTTAACTATGTTGTAGTCAAGACTTGAGTGGGCAAGAAATTAACAACAAAAAAACACCAACAGTAAACAAACTTGATCAATCTCCTACATGTTATCCCTACACCTGGAACGATTCCATCAGCGCTGCCTCTGGAAAATCCTGCAAATTTCTTGGGAAGACAGGCGGACAAACGTCAGCGTGCTGGAAGAAGCAAAGACCACCAGCATTGAAGCGATGGTCCTCCGCCATCAACTCCGCTGGACCGGCCATGTTGTCCGGATGCCCGACCACCGCCTCCCAAAGCAGTTGCTCTACTCCGAACTCAAGAACGGAAAACGGAATGTTGGTGGACAGGAAAAGAGATTAAAGATGGGCTCAAAGCCAACCTTAAAAACTCTGGCATAGACACTGAGAACTGGGAAGCCCTGGCCCTTGACTGCTCCAGCTGGAGGTCAGCTGTGACCAGCAGTGCTGCAGAATTTGAGGAGGCACGAATGGAGGGTGAAAGGGAGAAGCGTGCCAAGAGGAAATCGCGTCAAGCCAACCCCGACCGAGACCGCCTTCCACCTGGAAACCAATGGCCTTACTGCGGAAGAAGATGCAGAGCAAGAATAGGGCTCCACAGCCACATACGGACCCACAAGAATATTGGAAGACAATCATCCTCGGAAAACGAGGGATTGCCTAAGTAAGTAAGTAAGTATCCCTACATCTATCATGCCACTTCTCTGTCTTCTTTTCTTCAACCTGATTCTACCCAGCTATCTCAGGATGCCTCTACACCGCGGGTGATGCAATGGGTTAAATTATTGAACCCCTGAGCTTGCTGACCTGAAGGTTGGCAGTTCGAATCCATGGGACGGGGTGAGCTCCCACTGTTAGCCCCAGCTCCTGCCAACCTAGCAGTTCGAAATCATGCAAACGTGATTATATAAATAGATACTTCTCTGGCGGGAAGGCAAGCAGGCGCTCCAAGAAGTCATGCTTGTCCACACAACCAGGAGGTGTCTACGGACAATGCAGACTCCTTGGCTTGGAAATGGAGATGAACACCTCCCCCAGAACCGGAAATTGAGCAGCACCTCCAGAAGCCGGAGATGAAAAGAGAAGCCTTTGCCTTTGTTTTTGTCTGTGAATGTCTGTGAATTTCTGTTAATTGAACCAAGGCATTGTATGTTTGCTTGTGTTGTGTTTGTATATACTGTAATCCACTTTAAGTCCCCTTAGGGAGATAGGGCAAAATATAAATAAAGTGTTGTTGTTGTTGTTACTACACTGGATTTTGTCGTTTGTAGAGGCACTAGAACTTAAAGTGGTGCCAAACAGCCTTTCTTTTCCCATCGTGGTCAACTGTAAATCGTACATATGGTATTTCCGACAGTTCAGATCGGCCCCCTCCCTCCTAAGCTTTAAAAAAACCTGAAAACTTGGCTCTTCGATCAAGCTTTTGGAGCCTCAGCTTAATCAGATAAACCTTGAATTGGAAAACGACCTAGGAACAGCTAAGACGATGGAATGGATGAGGACTGAATATGACAACATAGTTTTATTTTTTTTATTGTTTACTGGTTTGATGTTTTTAGATATAATGTAATGTGATGTATGTATTTTATATGTGGCATCGAATTGTGCTGATTGTTCGCCGCCCTGAGTCTCTGTGCTGGTACAGCTGTACCAGGAGCTCCAATTTTATTTGCTTTGAGTGTTTGCTTGCAGTCCAGGGTTTCAGAGGTTCTGCAGAAAGGTGGCTTCCTTTGGTTGCAGTCGTAGGGCAAGTCACCTGTCCATCATTGTTAAGTTTTGGTTCCGCCCCTTGCTCAGGGCAATTGGGAAGGGAAGGGAGCCATTTTTAGTTAGTCTCAGTAAGGAAAGCTAATGTACAGGACGTGTTCAAGCTTCTCCTGTACAAAAGCTTCAACCCTTAAGACTTTCCGGGGGAGAACAGTCTTAAGAGTCTCCAAAGATTTCCAGGGAAACAGCCCTAAAGACCAAAGAACTCCAGCTGGAGAATCTACTAGCCTTACTGGTAGGTCCACTCGGCGTTCGAGATGCAATTCAACCCAGTAGCGGAGCTCACATCAGTAAGAATTAGATTACAGTCAGCCTGGGAGAAGTTAAAAAAGGGGATTTTCCTTTAAAGCAAAGAATTAGTTATTGAAGACAGTTGCCTGTCCTTCGTGGGCAAGTTTAGGAAGCTACCAGTTGCATAAAAGCCTGGAATCATTTGTTTAACTTTCTGAAGACAAGAGAAGTTTCTGTTTGATTGTTCATTAATAAAGGACTTTGTTATACTTCACAAGCCATCTAAAGACCATTTGTGGTGGAAAACCTCTGAGAACTTCTCTTCGAGGGTCCCTGGATTCCCGCTGGGCTCAAGTCGCACGTCCTATTTAAAGACAATTATTTACACACCCAGTGCGCGACAGAACAGTCACCTTTATGCTGATATGGGCGGGATAAAAATTATATCAATACATAAATTATATAATGCAGATATATCAAGTTTTGGAGTGGTCGTCTTGAACATGGACTGACTTAGAAAAGAGACAGTTATGTTATGGCAAAGGGCGAAATAAAATTCCATATAGATGCTATACCTTGTGAAACTGTTTTCACCAAAAGGCAAGTCTCTTTTTTGACTTTCAGTCTTGCTACACGAAATGGTCAGCCCATCTTCCAGGACAGACAGTAAGGGATGTGCTGTCTCCTCATTCAGAGTAAAGGAGGTGCCTGTAAGAAAATGAGAATACCATCACTGACAGAGTAATTATAGCTCTATGATTCCACTTTAACTTCCATGGTTATGAAGGCGAGCATGACCCCCCCACCAAACAAGGGATGGTGACTTATAGTTCTGCAAAGGACAAAGGTACCAGACTGCACAATAGGGGTTAAGTCTTGGTCAATTTGTCAAGGCCTTAACAACAATGAGGACCCCATGAAACTTCTGGGAATAGCTAGACCTTGGGGTCTCTGCCTCTCTCGGGAGCTGTAGTTCTCCAAGGACGGGGAGCAAAGCTTGTTTCCAGAGACACCAGGTCCATTTGGGCCACTCAAGAACTCCTGCCAGGACCTTTGTGCAACACCCTTGCGTTTTAGCCATCCCCTATGGACACTCTTTCCCCCCACATGGACAAACCTTATGAAATCTTGCCTTTTATGAACTTTAGATATATGAAATGTGTTTTCTGATTTCTTTGTGTGGCAGAAGCCTTTCCCCTTTTCCTCTGCCCTTTGTTTCCCCTATATACATGAAGAAACTCCACCAAAGGGACTACAAAGCCCCAAACATTCCAGGATTTTTTTTATCCACAACTTCCTTTTGCATGGACAATAGCCTGGGCAGCTGGTGGCCCTCGGAGGAATTGCCCAGCCCTCAGCTTGCCCCTTTGGCAAAGATCTTAATCATATTTCCTCCTGAAGAACAAAAGGCCCTCGAAAATAACCTTTTGCCTTCGCTCTGATTATTCATTCCACTCAAAGCACAATAGATCAGGCTGGCCTTTGTCTCGCCGGCCGCATGGCACGGCACTTCCTTTCCCAGATTCCTTTGTGCTCCCTCATCCCGCCTCCATCTCTCCTGATTGGCTGTCGCCACCAGGTGGCAGAGGTCTCCCCTTTGGTTCCTACGGACCACTGGAGCCCATCGCCCAATCATGGCAGGGAACAACAGGGAAGCCGGGGTGGGGAGTTTGAACTCTACAACTTTGAATTTGCTATAAATATGACTGTATTGGTGTAATCTCCTCATGCTCTGCTGGCAAATGATTGCAGCTTTGCATCCATTTCAGCTGAATCGCAATAAACTTCGATGGCTTTTCTTCAACTGGTGAGACTTTTCATTGGGAAATCAGGGAAAAATATGGGATGCTTCTCTGTCTCGCCAGGGAAGAAAGAACTCTTTGAGGAGTCTAATTGGTCTCTGCCTCCTGGCAAAGACCACTAAATTTTAGCTCTAAAACAGTTACATCCTATGCATGTCTGTTTGTATTTCATTTTATTTTGTTGTACTGTAATTCTGGGCTTGGCCTAAAGTTAGCCACCCCGGGTCCCCTTTGGGGAGATGGTGGCGGGGTATAAATAAAGACTATTTATTTATTTATTTGTAACCCGCCCTATCTCCCCAGGGGGGACTCAGGGCAGAATTGCTCCAAGTCATCCCCATTGCATTGTACTACACATTTTGCAAGTAGAAATATTAGTGATAATTGATTGTTCGTGGGACCTGTGCTCAGGATGGAGATGGAATCACTCCTGTCACTAGAGCCACCCGGATTGAGGGCTTTCACAGAGACAAGGTAATGCTGCTGCGGCTCCAGCTGAATCAAAGTTTCACAGTTTGGAATTCCAACAATAGACCTGAAGAAGAAAGAGAAAGAAGTGTGTGCCGAGACACAAAGGGATCCGATAGCATTTCTGTAATCATTGCATATATGATTGGGGTGGGGGTGGGAGGCCAGATGCCTCTCCAGTCTGGCTGCTACATTAAAATCAGAACATGTGTGGACAGAACAACAACAACAACAACAATAATAATAATAATAATAGTAACACTTTATTTATATTCCACCCTTCTCACCCCGAAGGGGACTCAGGGCGGATCACATCACACATACACGGCAAATATTCAATGCCGCTTTGTATGGACAATACACAGACAGACAGAACAAAAAGGAGGTGTTGTCGACTCAGTGTCCAGCTGTTTTTGGTGCCAAGTAAGGTGAGTCTAGCCACAGGGGGGTGCTGTTGCTCCATTCTCTATGACGAAGAGCCGTCAGGAATTCCTCCTTCCTTTTTGGTCACCCAGCGTTTTCTGATCTTCCTTTTCTTTATCGTGTCGTAAAACACCTCTCCTGCTTTTAGCAGTACCTAATTTCTCTAATTACAGCTAAAGCTGTTTTCGAACTGCTTAGGTAAACAGTGAGCAGGGCTGACAGTCGACTGCTCATGCCGACCCGGGGCTTCGAACTTGCAACCTTCCGATTGACAGATCTTATAGTTGATGGTGATTTACCAGCTGTGCCAACTCACACAGTATCTGAAAAATTACATCCGAAAGCGTAAGGAACATGTATGCACACAAAAGTCGAATATTCGAATTTCTGACATCACAACAAATCGGGTGTCAACAATTAGATTAATGAGCAGCAATAAAATAGGGGTGAAACTCTGGTCGAAAAATGTATCTTCAGTTTCTGGCACAGGATAAACAGAACACCCTTCCTTGTGCTTTCTTGAATTCTGAGGGTTTTTCAAAGGTGTGACAAGACCTCAAAAGGGCCAGCTTTAGCACAACAGGTTAATCACCAGATGCAACTGTAATAAATGTTGCCAAACAAAAAGTTGATAGTTAGAAGCTGGGTCAGGGTGAGCTCCTGACCTTCAGCCCAGCTCCCTGCCCACCTAGCAGATCGAAAACAGCAATGGGAGTAGATGAATAGGAACCACATTAAGTGGGGAGGTATTTTAGGTATGGTGTTTCGATCAGAAAAAAAGGAGGAAAGTTTACGAACAAAGAAAGCTCTTCAGCAAGGAGATGGAGCAACAGCACCCCCTGTGGCCGGAACCAAGCACAGCCTCCAAAGATGCTGAAAGATGGGGGAAAGCCTATATATATACAACTCTATCTGTTGTCTAACTTGTCATTGTATAATCGGCATTGAATGTTTGTTTGTTTATTTATTTATTTCATGCATTTCTACCCCGCCCAACCTGATGTCCTTAGGGAGAGAGTTCTACAGATGGGGGGCCACTGCCGAGAAGGCCCTGTCTCTCATCCCCATCAACTGCATTTGCGAAAGTGGTGGGATCGAGAGCAGGGCCTCTCCTGACAATCTTAAGCTTCATGATGGTTCGTAACAGGAGATACGTTTGGACAAGTGATGTTTGCCGTATATGTGTTCTGTGATCCACCCTGAGTCCCCTTCAGGGTGAGAAGGGCAGAATATAAATACTGTAAGTAAATAAACAAACAAGGCACAGAGTCATCTAGCACTACGCTACTCACTCTGTAATAACGTCCACATCCTCTCCATCTGTCAGCCTGGACAATTCAATTGTGTAGGAGTCCACAGGATTTGTGTTGCCACATTCCCAGCGTATAAGTGCTGCATGTTCACAGCTCTGAATCGCTTTACTGTTGATAACAGGTGGCAGAGGAGCTGAAAATATATGTAAGATAGTGCTGTCTGGTTCACTAGATAATCAGATCCTTTCCGAAGGCAATTTACAACATGATTAGTGGAGCACAACCTGGGGATCACAACCAGATACAGTGAAGACATCTGCCCTTGCGCTGTGCTACTCTGCTGCTGAGTATACATGCCCAGTGTGGAACACATCTCACCATGCTAAAACAGTGGATGTGGCTCTTAATGAGACATGCCGCATTATCACGGGGTGTCTGCACCCCACACCACTGGAGAAATTACACTGTGTAGTCGGTATTGCACCACCTGACATCCGCCGGGAAGTAGCAGCCAATAGTGAAAGGACCAAGGCAGAGACATCGCCAGCTCATCCCCTGTTTGGGTATCAGCCAGCACGTCAATGACTTAAATCTAGAAATAGTTTTCTAAGATCTACAGAGACACTCGCTGGAACACCTCAGCAAGCGAGAGTCCAAAAGTGGCAGGCTCAAACCCAGAACCTCAACCAATGGCTGATACCAAATGAGAGACTCCCCTCCTGGGCACACAGAGGACTGGGCGACTTGGAAGGCGCTGAACAGACTGCGCTCTGGCACCACGAGATGCAGAGCCAACCTTCAGAAATGGGGCTACAAAGTGGAATCCCTGACATGCGAGTGTGGAGAAGAGCAAACCACGGACCACCTGCAATGCAACCTGAGCCCTGCCACATGCACAATGGAGGACCTCCTTGCAGCAACACCAGAGGCACTCCAAGTGGCCAGATACTGGTCAAAGGACATCTAATCAACTACCAAACTCACAAATTTTGTATTTTGTCTTTGTTTGCTTTGTTCTGTTAGAAATGTAATATAATTGACTGGCTGCCCTGACACGATAAATAAATAGTGGCGCTAGAATCACATTAAACTGGATGGATGGATGGATGGATGGATGGATGGATGGAGGCTCCATAGAGAAGCTACTTTGGGTGGTAGGTTCTGGAGTGCAACACTACAATTCCTTTTGAGCTCTCAACCCTTCTCTTCTCCCCTTCTTCCCTCCTAAGACAGAGGTGTGCTTAGGGTGTGAGTTATCAAGTCTTTAGTGGGGAGAAGGTTCACCTTGACTTAATTTAATGAACCAAATTAAGGCCCAACAGAGCAGCCATTTCAGACAGAGGGCACGAGGTTGCAATAATATTTCATCAGAGCTCCTAGCTATCCTTCTCTCCCAAAAAGCTACCATCCAAGTTGTCTTACATTCCCACAATTGGCCAGCTTTCCTGATTCTGCCTCTCCTGTTGCCAACGTAGAGGGAAAATGTAATTGGCATTCCAATACATTTCAGAATATACAATATAATGGTTACCATCTTGTCCTTCATTTCAGGCAGCAAGATGTCTTAGACAGGGGCCCATTTCTATAGATTTCACATAATTCAGTGTTTCACAACCTTTGGCCCTCCAGGCGTTTTGGACTTCCACTCCAACAAGTCCTAACTGCTGGTAAGCTGGCTGGGATTTCTGGGAGTTGAAGTCCAAAACAACTGGAAGACCAAAGGATGGGGACCACTGACATCTATATAAATAAAAATGTAATGTTAGTTTGTGGGATTAGCATAACTCAAAAAGCACTGGACGAATTGACACTAAATTTGGCCACAAGACACCTGTCAGGCCAACGAGTGACCATCACTCATAAAAACACAGGAAAACACAGTGGAAGGGACTTTAAAAACCAAAAAATGCATTACAATGCATGCGCAAAACCACATATATATACACACAAACACACATACACGCACACACATATATGCATAGGAAGGAAAGAACGGAGAAAGGAAGGAAGGAAGGAAAGGGAGGGAGGGAGGGAGGGAGGGAGGGAGGGAGGGAGGGAGGGAGGGAAGGAAGGAGAAGGAAAGAAAGAAGGAAGGAAGGAAGGAAGGAAGGAAGGAAGGAAGGAAGGAAGGAGAGAAGGAGGGACAAAAAGAGGGAAAGAAAAAGGGAAAGAAGGAGCGAAAGAAGGAAAGAAAGGTAGAGAACAAAGGAAGGAGAGAAGGAAATAAAAAAGTGAAAGAGGGAAGGAAGGAGAGAAGGAACAAATGAGAGAAAGAGGGAGGAAAGGAAGGAAAGGGACAAGGAAGGATGGAACCAAGGAAGCGAGAAAAGAGACAGGTAGAAAAGGAAGAAAGAAAGAAGGGAAAGAAAAAGAGGGAAGGAAGTAAAGAGGGAGGGAAGGAAGGAGAGAAAGAAAGGAGAGAAAGAGGGAGGGAAGATTGGCCACAGCAACGCGTGGCGGGTACAGCTAGTTCAAAATAAAAATTGAAGTCTGGGATGACTTTACCTGTCATGTAAACAGCTCTTTCGCTCGCTGGACTGATCCCAGCTCTGTTGAGTGCTTTGACCCAAAATTCATACTGTGTATTCGGTGTCAGGTTGGTAACTGTGCGGTATGTCTCTTTCACATTTAGCACAAACTCTGCAGTAGGAAGGTCCAAAAGGTAGCTATTTAACATGGGAATTTTCTGAAGCAACTTCTTAAAACTGTAGTACAGTGATGCTTTGACATAAGAGATTAATTCATTCTACGATCAAGCTCTTAACTCAAAATGGTCTTATCTCAAAGCAAAATTTCACATTGAAGTGCCCTGAAATGCTACAATCCATTCTGGGTCCCTGAACCCCTCCCCCATTTTTGCTACATATTTCAAAATAAGAAAATTTACTTTGTAAATAACAAATAATGTATAAATGCACATTCACAAGGAACCATCAAACAGAAAGATCAATAGGTTGATGTGAGTTTTCCAGCTGTATGGCCATGTTCCAGAAGCATTCTCTCCTGACGTTTCACCCAGATCTATGTTGGGCATCCTCAGAGGTTGTGAGGGCTGTTGGAAACTAGGCAAGTGGTGTTTATATATTTGTGGAAGATACAGGGTGGGAGAAAGAACTCTTGTTTGTTTCAGGCAAGTGTGAATGTTGCAATTAATCACTTTGATTAGCATTGCAAAGCCTCGCAGCTTCAAGGCCTGGCTGCTTCCTGCCTGGGGGGATTCTTTGTTGGGAGGTGTTAGCTGGCCTTGATTGCTTCCTATCTGGAATTCTCCTGTTTTCTGAGTGTTGCTCTTGCTTTACTGTCCTGATTTTAGAGTTGTTGTTTTTTAAAAAAAATACTGGTAGCCAGATTTTGTTCATTTTCATGGTTTCCTCCTTTCTGTTGAAATTGTCCACATGCTTGTGGATTTCAATGACTTCTCTGTGTAGTCTGACATGGTGGTTGTGAGAGTGGTTCTATCGTTGGTGGGGATCAGAATGCTCTTTGATTGTAGGTGAACTATAAATCCCAGCAACTATAACTGCCAAATGTCAAGGTCTGTTTTCCCCAAACTCCACTAGTGTTCACATTTGGACATATTGAATAGTCATGCCAAGTTTGGTCCAAATCCATAATAGTTTGAGTTCACAGTGCTCTCTGGATGTAGGTGAACTACAACTCCAAAACTCAAGGTCAATGCCCACCAAACCCTTCCAGTATTTTCTGTTGGTCATGGGAGTTCCGTGTGCTAGGTTTGGTTCAATTCCATCATTGGTGGAGTTCAGAATGCTCTTTGATTGTAGGTGAACTATAAATCCCAGCAACTACGACTCCTAAATTACAAAATCAGTTCCTTCCCTAACCCCACCAGTATTCAAATCTAGACATATCAGGTATTTGTGACCAATTTGGTCCAGTGAATGGAAATACATCCTGCATACAAGATATTTCACATTTCATAACGTCATAACAGAAGCAAAATTACAGTTGTGAAGTAGCAACAAAAATAATGTTATGGTTGGGAGTCACCATAACATGAGGCACTGTATTAAGGGGTCGGGGCATTAGGAAGGTTGAGAACCACTGATCTAAATATTCCTTCAAACAGACATTGCTGCTGTTGTTTTCCTTACCAGCTTGCTCTTCTTTGGACGTATCATTGTTTATCCTCTTGTAAAACAGTTGGTACCTTTCAACCAGATCTTCTGAAAAGAAACTCCAGCAGACTCGCACAGAGGTCCCTGTGGCTGAGTTGGGATCCTGAGGGTTCATGACTGGCGCACAAGGAGGCAAAGTGGCTGGAATAGGGGAGGGAAGATCGGTACATAGATTTGACATGGCGGGCACTGAAGATCAGGAAATGCCCATTTGTCAATACTACTTAACATGGGACCATAAGAAGAGGATTACACGAGCTCAAATTAATTAATCCATTTAGCCCAATATTACCTACAGCAATAGCAGGAAAACATTCCTCTCTACCAAATCCTTAAACCTTACTGAGGCCCCATCTACACCACCATACAAAATCCCCATTATCTGCTCTGAACTGGATTATATGGCAATGTAGACTCATATAATCCAGTTCAAAATAGATCATTTGAATATAAAATTAACCATTAATTAGATATCCTGTTCTTTCTGATGAAGGCATGATGAAAATACATAATACACATATTGGAAAATATATATTGGATGTAACCATATTAGAAATAGGAATTAGAAAATATATATGAAATCACAAAGGGATATGTATGCATGAACTTCACTTCACTTGGGAAAATATTCTCTTCTTAAAAGCTGCAAATTAGGTGCCACAAAGAGGCTAGAAAGAGGCCAGGGTCTAGGAAAGGAATGTCTAAGGCTTCTGGCAAATATCAAGACTTGTACCAAGCAGGGCTTATCATAAGATTAATGAGCTGGCCATCAAGAGGCTTCAGGAAGAACTTATCTCAAGATGGATGGAAGCTCTTGCTATCAGTAGCCTAGTAGACATTCTGGCGCTATGGGGTACAGGATGGTCCTCTAATGAGCAGCTCTTTAGATAAAGGTGCTTAATGGAAGATTGAAGGTGTTGAAGTTAAAATATGCTATTGAAGTCAATGTAAAAGTGGAATTTTGTGATGCACATTGTGATGCTTGTATGATGCATGCATATTATTTTAAAGGGTATATAAACCAAGGCAATTCTTTTGTTCAGCACTCTGTTTCCTGGAATACCAGCAGGGTCCATATCCGGTTGGCACCAACTGAGAATAAACCATGCTTTTACAGACCCCAGGAACTCTCTTTTGTCTCTTTTCCTCAAACCTTCTCCCTGCCATTTCATTTTGGTGAGCCAGGCCACTTCACTTTAGCCTATCACAAACCTCTTTGGGATCTTTACTTCTTTGGAGTAATGGCAAACACACATTCCAATATTCCATTAATAAAATCAAGCTCTATGCAAACCGGCACAGAACTAAATACCACCAGAGTGAAATAATGGGCTTCTAGTTAGGCCTACTGCATTGACTTCAAACCAAATAAATTTATGACAATACCTGGGAGAGAATCAACAGAATCCATTAGTTGTTGAACATCGGAGAACTCTATGACTCTGGCTTCATATTCTATTGGTGTTGAGAGGTCTACATCCACGTCTTTTTTCAAGAATTTCTCCAATCTGTAAAAACCACAAAAATAGGCAGCAAGCAAGAGCTGTGAACATTAGTGGTATTCTGTATTATATTAAATACTAGCTTGGAGACCCAGCATTGCCTGGGTTATTTGAAAAAGTCATTTTTCATAAGGTTGCGGGTGAACTACAACCCCTTGAAACTCCATCAGTACTTAGTTTGTCATGTTGGGCAAAGTTTCAGCCTAGGACAGTGATTCTCAACCTGGGGTTCCCAGATGTTTTTGGCCTTCAACTCCCAGAAATCCTAACAGCTGGTAAACTGGCTGGGATTTCTGGGAGTTGTAGGCCAAAACACCTGGGGACCCACAGGTTGAGAACCACTGCTCTAGATGCAGTACATGGCTAAAATGCTCTATGGCTGCAGGGTAAACTACAACTCCCACCATGGTGAGTCAGTCTCCTCAAACCCTCCAGTAGGTTCCGTTGGTCATGGGGTTCTGTGTGCCAAGCTTGTTGGTGGGGCTCACAGTGTCTCTGGGTGTAGGTGAACTACAATTCCCAAATGTCAATTCCTCTCCCCCTCCCCAACTCCTCCAGACTTGGGTATGCTTGCCAAGTCTGGTCCAGATTCATCATTGGTTAAGTTCACAGTGCTCTCTGACTGTAGGTGAACTACAACTCCTATAAATCAAGGTCAATTCCCCCCAACCTGGTCATGGAGGTTCTGTGTACCAAATTTGGTTCGGGTCCATTGCCAGTGGGGCTCACAGTGCTGTGTTTTGATGCAGGGTGAACTACAGCTTCCATCATGTTGAGTTAGTCCCCCAACCCCCTCCAGTATGATCAGTTGCTGATCAATTCCTCTGTTTGCGGTATGCCATAGAAAAGGAAAAAGTTAAGAGAGAGGCAGTGGGTGGGGTCATGCAAATTCCACACCAATGGAGAGAGTCGGAAACACTGGGATGTCTGTGGTGGAAGAAACACATAAAATCTAGGATGAAATTGTCCTCGTATGAAAGCCTTCGCTTGGGTGGTGGGTAGTATTGTGTTTGTGGAGGACATTGGCAGGGCTCTTGAACATGTTCATGGCACTCACTATAACTTGCAATGTCATTGGAGGGAGGGTCATTGGTGTCTCCTGAGTGGTGGGAGTTATAGTTGTTTGTGGAGGCAGGAGCTTGTCTATGTGGGCACCCCCCCCCCAACAAACATATTTTCACTTTTATTATGTATATAGATACTATATGCAGTTCTGTTATTATGACTACATACCCCAGTTTTATGTTGCTTGAATGCTCTGAGCATCTTATCCAATAAGCAGCAACTTAATCAAAAATATTAAAACTACAAATTAAACATCATTACGAAAAGCAGCACTCATTAGAATGATCAAAACCATTTAAAAATAGAAGCAGCAGAACTAAACATTAAAAGCATATATAATTTTTGGGTGCTTTTTTTTGCATTCTGACAGAAAACAGGAAGGAAGCCAAGTATTTTTCCATTGCAAACCTGGAACGTTTTAAAAGCAGCTGAAAAGGCGGGACAACAGAAGATCAATTCCAAATTGCAACAATTCAAGGGAAGGGATTTCTTTTAGCATAACCTTTTTTTTGGGTGCAGCGGGTTAAACCACTGAGCTGCTGAACTTGATGAGCAAAAGGTCAGCTGTTCTAATCTGGGGAACAGGGTGAGCTTCCACTGTTAGGCCCAGTAAAATAACGCAGCGAGAGTAGAAAATGTTTTAAATTAAAATTATTCAGATGGGGAAAATATAAATATAATAATCCCAAACGCTCGCTGCTCAGCCAAAATGATAATGCACACCAAAAGGTAGAGGGAGTATGGTTGCTGAACCAACTGTATATTTAAAAGTTAGGAACTGGGAACCACTGGAACTGAGAGACTTAAAATGATTCTTCAAATGAATTCCACTGCCACCATTTCAATATTAATTTAGGCTGAGATAATACAGTTTCTTAAAGGCTGCTAAGAAGCTGACTTTAGTAATGCTTTAACCACAAAGGTATTCACACTGAGACTGGTATAAGTCGAATAAAATAACAAGAATGTTTATTGAACAGGCTTGAAATAATCAGGTACAAATGCTTAATGGTTTCAGTAAAATACTGGCATAAAAATCTTGTGGTTGCATTAGAGTAAAAATCTTTAAATCTTCTGGTTTACAAGTCTTCAAAGTTCCACCACAGGAAATTACTTCAGGAAATGAATCTCTGAAAGTAACTCCCCAAAATGCCCCTTAGGAATCTAGCCAAAAACACCCTGAACTAGACTTCCTTAGGAATTGAACAGACCACTAACGGGGTACTGCTCCACAAAACAGTATTCTAGCTATCTACTCAATAGCTACTCTGAATACATTACAAAAGACTGACCCAAACTTCGTTTCTAAACCCAAACTCACTCTCACTAACACCAACACTTCTTCTAACAGCTCCAAACTCTAACTGGCTCAACTGGGACTTCAAGCCTCAGTTTAAAAGACATTTTTTCCCTCTAAACCACCATCCTTCTAGCCAATCTTAGCCTTCTGATTTTCCCTCTAAGACTTGAACACGCCCCTTCAAGGCAAACCTAACTAAGGCCTCCCTTTCCTAAAATGGATGCCATGGCTTCGCCAGGCCCATTCCCTTTAGGCTAAAGCTAACCAGCTAAGGTAAGGGATCATTACACCCAGCTTCAGCCAACCTATCAATTCAAAAACATGCAAATGTGAGTAGATTAATAGGTACTGCTTCAGCGGGAAGGTAATGGCACTCTGTGCAGTCATGCCAGCCACATGACCTAGGAGGTGTCTATGGACAACACCGGCTCTTTGGATTAGAAATGGGGATGAACACCACCCCCAGAGTCAGAAATTCGCTACCCCAGAAAAGGGGGAAAGGTGGTACAAAATAATGAGAGATAATAACAATATTAGAGATGAGTGTAAAAGGTAAAGGTTTCCCCTTGACATTAAGTCTAGTCAAGTCTGACTCTGGCGGGTGGTGCTCATTTCAATTTCTAAGCCGAACAGCCGGCATTTTCCGTAGACACCTCCAAGGGCATGTGGCCAGCATGACCCACTGTGCCATCACGGCCCCGAGGTTAGTATAAGCCACCCAATATAATAAAACTTTCAACAAGTTAGTCTTGAATGTACAATAGGAGAATATTAAAAATTCAACATGCAATATTACCTGTCTATTGTAGTTACAGCAGTCTGAAGAAACAGAGGGAAAGAAATAACAGAGGGAGAGATTAACTATGGAAATACGTTGCGAATATGTGTGTGATCAGGGAGAAAGAAATAGAGAGAATATATTGTAAAATACCTATAGCCATTAGGACTTGTCTTTTTGTGCTGGCAAGCCCTGGCCCATGAGTGCTTTACGTGGAGGTCAGCTGTGACCAGCAGTGCTGTAGAATTCAAAGAGGCACAAATTGTGGGTGAAAGGGAGAAATGTGCCAAGAGGGAGGTGCGTCAAGCCAACCTTGACCCGGATCACCTTCCACCTGGAAACCGATATCCTCACTAAGGGAGAACATGTGGATGAAGAATAGGGCTCCACAGCTATCTACAGACCCACCACCAAGACACTACATCTGAAAGACCATCATCCTTGAGCTATGAGGGAATACCTAAGTGAAGTGAAACCCATCCATCAAGAAGTGCCAGAAATATGAGGTTCTGCTGCACTGCATTTATCATCAATAGCATCAGAAACACTTTGCAAAACACTTGGCTCCCTAAACTAAACATAAACTTGGATGGATCCTTAAGTACAAGTGACCACTGATTAGGGATTCAGTCAAAGTTATGTAGGATCTTGACAGCTGGAGTGAGGAGGTTCCTATTCTAAGTTAAAGTTTTCAGCCTTGATATTTAGAGTGTTAAAGGAACCACTTTGAATTGGAATCTAGCCTGTGAGCTAGGGGAAAGAAAAGCACAGTGTAATAATAGTAATAATAATAATAATAATAATAATAATAATAATAATAATAATACTTTATTTATATACCACTCTATCTTCCTGGGGGGACTCAGGGTGGTTTCCAAACAACAACATCAAAACGTACAGAGTCACAACATGATCAAAAAATAACAGTAACAGCAACATAAGCATGGAATTACCCAACAACGCATAAATATTAAAAGAAAAAAATCCTGCCTACTCTTCATGTCTATTTCTTAGGGCATGGAAAAGGAATGGGTCAGGACAATTAAAAAGGCTGGGTCAAGACTGATACAGGCCCGTAGCCAGGATTTCATTTCGGGGGGGGCTAAAAAATTTTCAGGGGGGGTTTCGGGGGGGGCTGAGTTTCGGGGGGGCTGAGTCTGAGTGAAAGAGGGTCTAGCCTAGCAAACCTTTTGTATCATTACCCCAATACCCCCATACATATGGGATATATTGAGAATGGTGATCAAATCATGATATTAATAAACATAACAGTTTAAATAATGCACCAGTAAGGCCTTTTCGCGAACCACCATGAGAATTTCGGGGGGGGGGGGCTGAAGCCCCCCGGGCCCCCCCCCCCCCCGGCTACATGCCTGACTGTCAGGACAATTAAAAGGCTGGGTTAAGACTGATACAAATTGAAATAAGATGGAACCAGCATTTGGGTACAGTACTGCAAAAGATAAAACGACACAAGCGGGGACAAAAGCTATTTCCAGGGGCCTGTTAGGAGAATGACCAGGGTAATATATATGGGGCTAGGTCATGTCCGGACAGTGTCTGGGCTGAGCTAGCACTGGTCACTCTCGAAGATTTGTTGAAACCACCAAGTCTTCAAACTCTTACGAAAAGAGGGGAGGGATGGGGCATGTCTTATTTCCCTAGGAAGGCGTTCCAGAGGCAGGGGGCCACCACTGAGAAGGCCCTCTCTCTTGTCCCCACCAACCACAGGTTCGAATCCGGGGAGAGGTGGATGAGCTCCCTCTATCAGTTCCAGCTCCTCATGCGGGGACATGAGAGAAGCCTCCCACAAGGATGATAAAAACATCAAATCATCTGGGCGTCCCCTGGGCAACGTCCTTGCAGACGGCAATTCTCTCACACCAGAAGCGACTTGCAGTTTCTCAAGTCGCTCCTGACACGACAAAACAAAACAACTTGTGACAGTGGTGGGTGTGAAAGGAGGGCTCCTCGGAAGATCTTAGAGTTCGCGCCGGTTCATAGAAAGAGATGTGATTGCAAAGATAGGCAGGGCTCGAACCATTTAGGGCTTTATAGGTCATGACCTGCACCTTGAATTTGGCTCTACACTTATCGGCAGTCAATGAAGCTGTTTTAATACGGGTGTTGTAAGCTCCCTATAGTTTGCTCCAGTAAGGAGCCTGGCTGCCGCCCGTTGTACCAGTTGTAATTTCCGGGCCGTCTTCAAGGGCAGCCCCACGTAGAGCGCATTGCAATAGTCCAATCTGGATGTAACCAAGGCATGGACCACCCCAGCCAAAACAGACCTTGCTAAGTAATAAAAGGATCTTAATATAAGTGTGACTGAGAGGGAAAGTGTACTTTGAGAACAAGTTTATAGATAAACTATTGAGAAAAATAAAAAAAGATATAAGATATAAGTTGCCCAGTCAGGAGACTGAGAAAGCATTACATTTGAAAGTGAAAAAAGTTACCAAACCAAATTGGCATAAGCTAAGCTGTTCTGAATATTATATAGTAACAGTTTTATTCATAATAGTAAAAGCCGGTTGTAACAATATCCAAGAAGTACTGTGAAGAAAAATACTGTGTAACCAATACGCTTTATGTGCCTGAGAATCCATAAATAAACATTTCTTTGTTCAATTACTACATTAAAGACTTGTGTCACGTTACTGAATTGCTTTTTTTTTTTGGGGGGGGGGGGGGGGGGGGGGGGGGGGGGGGGGGGGGGGGGGGGGGGGGGGGGGGGGGGGGGGGGGGGGGGGGGGGGGGGGGGGGGTATGAAGATATTCTACAGGAAAATGGCTGAAGATCAGTTTACAGTATTGGATTGCACATTGAAATGGCACACACAAACATTTTAAAGTGAAAAGTACAACAAACAGATGCTGTCTGTCCCCACAATATCCAACACCAGTAGGTAGCTCTCACGGTGCTTATAGCAGGGAAGGTCCTGTTCTAATAATGCCTTTGAGTGTTTCCACTATTATAAATGTCTTTACCTTCATGGTATCCACTTTACTGGCACCCTGGCCCAGGCCCTCGATTGTTTCCATCAGCTCTTTGCAGGTGTCCAGGTTTTCTCCGCAGCAAACCAACTGCTCATATAATGCCTCCAGCTTCTCCTTCTTCTCTTCCCCTAATGCCTGCATCGTTTCTTCATATCTTTGCTCGAGGGTCTGCATCACTTCATCGTAGCGTCTCTCAAAGTTCTGCTCCTCTCTGGCAAACTTCTCCTGGAAAGATTTTTTTATTTTTTTATTACACTGTGGAAAATGTATAAAAAACCAAATCTGAACTGAGAGCAGTATTGAAGTGTCATCGTTCATTGGAGATGAAATGCATCTTCCTTTATAAATGCCACTTCTCTGTTTAAGGGGCTGCCTTCTCCTTTTGGCAAAGGCCTCTCCAGTCCAAATTTGGTTGACACAAAACATAAGAATCCTGAGAGAAACTCAAGATAGCACCTTGCCTTAATAACCAAATAGTTAGCCAATTGCTTTTTGCAGAAATATTTATAACAGGAATGTTATGAACAGGAAAATAAGCTGTCAGAATAGTTAATTTTCTGCCATTTTGATTCTGAAACTGGATTGCATTTGTTCTGGGGATTGCAATCAGACAAGCAAAGACCACCATCAACTACGCTGGGCCAGCCACGTTGTCCGGATGCCCGACCACTGTCTCTCAAAGCAGTTGCTCTGTTCTGAACTCAAGAATGGAAAACGGAATGTTGGTGGGACAGGAAAAGAGATTTAAAGATGGGCTCAAAGCCAACCTTAAAAACTCTGGCATAGACACTGAGAACTGGGAAGCCCTGGCCCTTGAGTGATCCAGCTGGAGGTCAGCTGTGACCAGCAGTGCTGCAGAATTTGAAGAGGCACAAATGGAGGGTGAAAGAGAGAAATGTGCCAAGAGGAAGGTGCGTCAAGCCAACCCAGAGACCGCCTTCCACCTGAAAACCAATGCCCTCACTGTGGATCAAGAATGGGCTCCACAGTCACCTATGGACCCACAAGAATACTGACCCTGGAAGACTATCCTACTCGTCCAACGAGGGATCGCCTAAGTAAGTAAGTAAGTATAGTGAAGACACCTACCATTTCGCTTTGCTACTCTGTTACTAAATATTCATGCCCAGTGTGGAAAACATCTCACCACATTAAAACAGTGGACATTGCTCTTAGTGAGAAATGCCACATTATCACATGATGTCTACGTCCTACACCGCTGGAGAAATTATATTGCTTAGTTGCTATTGCCCATCTGACATCTGTCAGGAATTGGCAGCCAGCAATTAAAGGATTGAGGCATTGACATCTCCGGCCCATCGTCTCTCCCGATATCAGCCAGCAAGCCAACACTTTAAATCAAGAAATAGCTTTCAAAGGTCTACAGAGACACTCGCAGGAACACCTCAGCAAGCAAGAGTCCAAAAGTGGCAGGCTAAAACCCAGAACCTCAATCAGGCTGAGATCGGATGAGAGACTCCCTCCTGGGCACACAGAAGACTGGGCAACCTTGAATGGCAGAACAGACTGCGCTCTGGCACCACGAGATGCAGATCCAATCTTAAGAAATGGGGCTACAAAGTGGAGTCCCAACATGTGAGTGTGGAGAAGAACATCACAGACCACTTTCTACAATTCAGCCTGAGCCCTGCCACATGCACAATGGAGAACTTACTCACAGCAACACCAAAGGCACTTGAAGTGGCCAGCTTCTGGTCAAAGGAAATCCAGTATAATGCTAAGTCTTTAACTTTGTTTGTGTTTTAAAAATACATTATAATTGTATCCTCAATTTGCATTTGACACAACAAATAAATAAATATTTGTTTTTTAAGTGAATACTTTGGCAGGAACTGGATGTGGAAACAATGTTTTTTAGATCATTGTGGCATTTAGGTTGTGTGGCTATATCTATGCCTGGATACAAACTACATAATTCTGTTTCACCAATTTCAGTTTAAACAAAGTTTTCTTTTATTTGAAAGGAAGACATACAAACAACATTTTGTAGTTTGTATCCAGACATCGAAACAGTCACACAACCTGAACGCCACAATGATCTAAAAAAAAAAATTGTTTCCATATCCAGTTTCTACTGAAAACGTCACCTTAAAAAACAAACATTTATTTGTCATGTCAGATGTGAATTGAGGATGCAGTTATAATATATTTTTAAAAACACAAAGTTAAAAACTTAGCATTATTATTGATTTCGCCTCAAACATCTCACTGCTTTGAAAACTAATGCACATATAATAATCTCAAGTGTTTAAATCAGGCTATGAATAGAACTGAATGGCTTTTCCTCCACGCAAAAAAAAAAAGCTTTGTTCATGAACTGTGGGATTGTCGTACCTCTACTGTGATGAAAATTTCTTCCAAATGGCTCGAAAAACCTTCCAAATGAATAATCTGATTTTCCAGTTTGCATATGTTTTTCTGAAGTTCATCCTGCCAAAATAGGACAACATTAGCCTGCTGGGTTATTGTCTAAAAAGAACATTTTCCTATTTCAGACTGAATTATTGTGCACTAGCCGTCCCCTGCCAGGCATTGCTGCGGCCCAGTCTGGTGATCTGGAAAATAAAGTAAGGAGAAAGTGTTGGTTTCTAATATATGTAATTTCTTTATGCTTGTGGGTAAACAGTATTTCTTGCTGTTTCTTTGTCAGTGTTGATGTGGAGATTGTCTGGTTTGCCCACTCTGGAACATGCAACATAGAATTGTCCTTCTTTAGGGGTCCCTTTCAAATCTATGATACTATATCTCTCTGTGTGTGAATCATACACATCTCTCTCTCTCTATGGCTGGATGGCTCTTTGTCAGGAGGGCTTTGATTATGTTTTCTTGCCCTGGTGAAGGGAGTTCAACTGGATGGCCTTTAGTATTTTCTGTTGCTCCTGGGGGTTCTGTGTGGGAAGTTTGGCCCAATTCTGTCAATGGTGGGGTTCAGAATGCTCTTTGATTGTGGGTGAACTATAAATCCCAGTAACTACAACTCCCAAATGTCAAGGTCTATTTCCCTCAAACTCCATCTGTGTTCATATTTGGGCATATGGAATATTCGTGCCAAGTTTGGTCCAGATCCATCATTGTTTGAGTCCACAGTGCTCTCTGGATGTAGGGGAACTACAACTCCCAAACTCAAGGTCAATGCCACCAAATTCTTCTAGTGTTTTCTGTTGGTCTTTGGAGTCCTGTATGCCACATTTGGTTCAATGCCATAATTGGATGGAGTTCAGAATGCTCTTTGATTGTAGGTGAAATATAAATCCGAGCAACTACAACTCCCAAATGACAAAAATCACAAATTTGTAAGTGAAGGACATACATTGGGTTGTTAGGTGTATGCTGTCCAAATTTGGTGTCAATTGGCCCACTGGTTTTTGAGTTCTGTTCATCACCCAATATCACATTACATTTTTATTTATATAGACTAGCTGTCCCCTGCCATACGTGGCTGTGGCCTACATGGGGGTTCTGTGTGGGAGATTTAGCCCAATTCTATCATTGGGTGGGTTCAGAATGCTCTGTGATTGTAGGTGAACTATAAATCCCAGCAACTACAACTCCCAAATGTCAAGGTCTATTTCCCTCAAACTCCATCTGTGTTCATATTTGGGCATATAGAATATTCATGCCAAGTTTGGTTCAAATCTATCATTGTTTGAGTCCACAGTGCTCTCTGGATGTAGGTGAACTACAACTCCCAAACTCAAGGTCAATGTCCACCAAATTCTTCTAGTGTTTTCTGTTGGTCTTTGGAGTCCTGTATGCCACATTTGGTTCAATGCCATAATTGGATGGAGTTCAGAATGCTCTTTGATTGTAGGTGAAATATAAATCCGAGCAACTACAACTCCCAAATGACAAAAATCACAAATTTGTAAGTGAAGGACATACATTGGGTTGTTAGGTGTATGCTGTCCAAATTTGGTGTCAATTGGCCCACTGGTTTTTGAGTTCTGTTCATCACCCAATATCACATTACATTTTTATTTATATAGACTAGCTGTCCCCTGCCATACGTGGCTGTGGCCTACATGGGGGTTCTGTGTGGGAGATTTAGCCCAATTCTATCATTTGGTGGGTTCAGAATGCTCTTTGATTGTAGGTGAACTATAAATCCCAGCAACTACAACTCCCAAATGTCAAGGTCTATGTCCCTCAAACTCCATCTGTGTTCATATTTGGGTGTATGGAAAATTCGTGCCAAGTTTGGTCCAGATCCATCATTGTTTGAGTCCACAGTGCTCTCTGGATGTAGGTGAACTACAACTCCCAAACTCAAGGTCAATGCCCACCAAACCCTTCCAGTATTTTCTGTTGGTCATGGGAGTTCTGTGTGCCAAGTTTGGTTCAATTCCATCATTGGTGGAGTTCAGAATGCACTTTGATTGTAGGTGAACTATAAATCCCAGCAACTACAACTCCCAAATGACAAAATCAATTTTTTTGAGTGATGGTCACTCCTTGGGTTAGTAGGTGTCTTGTGGCCAAATTTGGCAGCAATTCGTCCCGTGGTTTTTGAGTTATGTTAATCCCACAAACTAACATTACATTTTTATTTATTTACTATTGCTGTGGCCCAATCTGTGTATATGTGTTTTGTGTGTGTATATATTTGTATATATGTATATGTTTGCATACATGTGTGTGTGGTTTTGTGCATGAGTTGTAATGTATTTTGGGTTTTTTTTTATTTTGGCTTTTTAAGTCTCTTCTGGTGTGTTTTTCAGTGTTTCTATAAGTGATTGTCACTTGTTGACCTGATAGGTGTCTTGTGTCCAAATTTGGTGTCAATTCGCCCAAAGGTTTTGAATTATGCTAATCCCACAAACGAACATTACATTTTTATTTATATAGATCAGTGTTTCTCAACCTGGGGGTCGGGACCCCTGGGGGGGTCACGAGAGGGTGTCCGAGGGGTCACCAAAGACCATCAGAAAACACAGTATTTTATATTGGTCATCTGGGTTACATGTGGAAAGTTTGTCCCAATTCTATCTTTGGTGGGGTTCAGAATGCTCTTTGATTGTAGGTGAACTATAAAACCCAGCAACTACAATTCCCAAATGTCAAGGTCTATTTTCCACAAACTCCACCGGTGTTCAAATGTGGGCATATTATTTGTGCCAAGTTTGCTCCAGATCCATCATTGTTTGAGTCCACAGTACTCTTTGGATGTAGGTGAACTACAACTCCAAAACTCAAGGTCAATGCCCACCAAACCCTTACAGTATTTTTTGTTGGTCATAGGAGTTCTGTGTGCCAAGTTTGGTTCAATTTCATCATTGGTGGAGTTCAGAATGCTCTTTGATTGTAGGTGAACTATAAATCCCAGCAACTACAACTCCCAAATGTCAAGGTCTATTTCCCCCAAACTCCACTAGTGTTCACATTTGGGCATATTGAGTATTTGTGCCAAGTTGGGTCCAAATGCACAGTCGTTTGGGTTCACAGTGCTCTCTGTATGTAGGTGAACTACATCTCCCGTAAATCATTGTCACTTCCTCCCAGCCCCCATCCAGTATTTCCTGTTGGTCATTGGGGTTCTGTGTGCCAAGTTTGTTCCAGGTCTATAATTTGTGGGGGTCTCAATGGTCTGTGGAAGTCAGAGCTGAATCGGTTGAAGGTACTGCAAATCCCATCATCCATTGTCCATACTCCCTGTGCATATTGTTTTTGTGATCAATCACTATGCTTTAATCATGTTAAATTTGTAACAATGAAAATACTCCTGCTTATTAGATATTTCCATTATGCATCATAAGAGTAGCAAAATTACCATTATGAAGTAGCAACGAAAATATGGTTGGGGGTCACCACAACATGAGGACTTTATTTAGTAGGCTTGGGCGATCAAGAAAAAAATTGGTTCTAAACTCTTTTCGTTTCTAGGGTGCGCTAGCGTTTCGAAATTCTGAGGACTTCCGAAATTTAAGATTTCAAAATTTACCAAAATTTCGTAAAATTACAAATCGATTCGTTAATGGCGGACGCGATTGCGCAATATGCTAAAAAACCTCCAAATGGGACAGGGGGAACTTCTGAAGCTTCCCTCTCCCTCTGTTGTTGACTGTTGGTGTGATAAAACTAAAAACAACTATATTATATTACATTACATCACATTACATTACATTACATTATATTATAATTATATATTATATATTAAATTATATTATTATATTATATATTATAATATATTATATATATATATATATATAATATTATAATAATACAATATAATATATATTATATTATATTTATATATTATTATATATTAATATTATATATTATATTATATATATTATACAATTATAATATAATATAATATAATATAATATAATATAATATATATATAATAATTAATTATATTATATATATTATTATATTATAATATAATATTTAATTAATTATTATATTATAATATAATATATTACTATATATGTACTGGGCAACGATCGCTGTGATAGAGTGAGGGTATGAAAATACTAAAGTAATGAGAAAATTGTATATTAATTATATTTATAATTATATTATATTATCTATATATTATTATAATAATAAATATTATAATATACATAAATAATATTATTAATATATAATATATATTTAATTATTAATATTATTATATTAAATATATATTATATTATATATATATATATATTAAATATATATAATATAATATAATATAATAATAATAATAGATTATAATAATAATATAATTATAATATATAATAATATATATATTATTATATATATATAATATAATATAATTATTACCATTATATTATATTATATTCTAGCTGTACCTGGCAACGCATTGCTGTGGCATAGAGTGAGGGTATGAAAAATAAAGTAATGAGAAATTTTGGGCAAGAAGCATGAGGAAAGAGGAGGGAAGCAGCAGAGCAAAGGGACCGGAAGTGGGGTAAATGCGAGATTGTAAAACTTGCACCAGACATACGAAAATAATTACGAAATAATTACGAAAATTGGAAAAATTGTTTCGATTCTTAATTACTCCTCACACTATTCCTGCATGGCTCGATATTGGATCGTAAGCTAATTTAAATACGAATTAATAACGAATTACGAAATTAACGAACTGGATCGCCCAAGCCTATTATTTAGGGGTCACGGCATTAGAAAAGTTGAGAACTACTGATATAGATTGTTGCTTTTACCTTTGCTATTTGAACCACACTGTCAAGAGGAATGACTTCATGCTCTTCATGTTCACGGCACTGTTCGTCAAGGGCTCTCACGGGAACGCAGCAAGTAATGCAGTATGTATCCATGTCTTTGAAGGGTGGCTTCTTTTCTGTATCAGAACCAGCAATATTTTGAAGAGCATCACAGTCATCTTTATTGCTTGCTGACTCATTGTCCGGGTCTTGATCCCGAGAATCCGCACTAGAGGTTGTTGGCTTCTCTGTGCTCTGAGTCTTCCTGTCTTCCTGCACAGCGAGATCGCGCCTTCGAAAGGGTTCTGACAACATCTCTAAATCTTCAGTTGAGTCATAAAGTTCCAGATGGTAACATCTGGGGCTTTCTGGATCCTTGTCTTTGGACTCTGAATCCATTGATGTAACTGGAGCACTAGCAGCCAATCTAGCAAGCTGCAAAGCTTCTTGGATGAAAAGCAGGAGAGACACCATATGATACAAGGCCTTCGCGACAAGTCAGGGAGGAACTGTATGGCTATGGAAATTAAAAAATCAAGAAATTAGAGACTTCAATAAGCAGAAAGTCCAGTTAGAATCACAGAATCATAGAATCATAGAGTTGGAAGAGACCTCATGGGCCATCCAGTCCAACCCCCTGCCAAAAAGCAAGAAAATTGCATTCAAAGCACCCCCGACAGATGGCCATCCAGCCTCTGCTTAAAAGCCTCTAAAGAAGGAGCCTCCGCCTCACTCCGGGGCAGAGAGTTCCACTGTTGAACAGCTCTCACAGTCAGGAAGTTCTTCCTAATGTTCAGATTGACCCAAACAGAGTTTTGAAGCCTTTTGAAAATGAAAACACAAACCAGTCTATTTACTGATTGTACAAGAATAGGAGGGAGTAAAAGTAGGATTCATACCTAAGATTTATTTGTTTGTTTATTTCTCGCATTTCTATCCCGTCCTTCTCAACTCCCAAAGGGGGACTCAGGGCGGCTTACAATGGGCCCCATTCAGAAGCCATTACATAACAAATTAAAAAATTAAAACCACAATTAGACATAAAAGTATAATTAACAATACATAAGCCATCGTTAAAACAGCCATCCGGGGAGGCCCTGCTCTCGGTCCCGCCTGCGTCACAGGCACGGTTGGCGGGGACGAGAGACAGGGCCTTCTCGGTGGTGGCCCCTCGGCTATGGAATGCCCTACCCATAGACATCAGACAGGCTCCTTCGCTGCTGGTTTTTCGGAAGAAGGTTAAGACTTGGCTCTACGAGCAAGCGTTTGGCTAAACACTGCAACTGAACACAGGAAGACAGTAAAATTGAACATAGGAATGGCACAAGGATTATGAGAATGGATTTTGCTCTGTTATCGAGGCGTCATGAATTGATAATATTTGTTGATTTTGCTATTGTGTATGAAGTGATTTTGCTATTGTGTATGATGTGTTTTTATCTGTTTATTGTTGTGATAACCTGCATTGTGTAAACTGCATTGAGTCGCCTAATTAGGCTGAAAAACACGGTATAGAAATAAAGCAAAAAAATAAATAAATAAATCGTTAAAACAGTAAAACAGTCTCATCAGCCATATCGTCATTCCAGTCATATTCCCTGCATCTATTGTCCAAAAGCCTGGTCCCAAAATCATGCCTTTAGTTTCTTTCGAAAAACTAGGAGGGAGGTGGCCGATCTTACCTCAGTTGGGAGTCTGTTCCATAGGCATTCCCTTAAAGGCCTGGACTCTATTGTCCAAAAGCCTGGTCCCAAAACCATGCCTTTAGTTTCTTATGAAAAACTAGGAGGGAGGTGGCCGATCTTACCTCAGTTGGGAGTCTGTTCCATAGGCAGGGGGCCACCACCGAGAAGGCCCTGTCTCTCATCCCCGCTAGGCGCATTTGTGCTGTGACGGGAGCGAGAGCAGGGCCTCCCCAGATGATCTTAGGTTTTGAGGTGGGACATAGGGGTGGATGTGTTCAGACAAGTAAGCTGGGCCAGAACCGTATAGAGCTTTATAGGTCAAGACCAGCATTTTGAATTGGGCTCAGAGGTGGACCGGCAGCCAGTGGAGCTGGCACAACAGGGGGGTGGTATGCTCCCTGTATGTCGCCCCAGTTAGTAGTCTGGCTGCCGCCCATTGATCTAGCTGAAGTTTCCGAACTGTCTTCAAAGGCAGCCCCACGTAGAGCACATTGCAGTAATCTATTCGGGATGTAACTAGAGCGTGGACCACCGTGGCCAAGTCAGACTTCCCGAGGTACAGGCACAGCTGGCGCACAAGATTGTCAGGACTCAAGATGTCAACTGAAGTCACTGGAAACTGCTGTGCTTCTCTGGATCTCAGATAGGAAAGCCAATATCACAGCATACGATACTGGAAGAAAAGACCATACCATGTTTGTTGTCAAAGTCTTTCGTGGCCAGAATCACTGGGTTGCTGTGAGTTTTCCAGGCTGTCGGGCCATGTTCCAGAAGCATTCTCTCCTAACATTTCATCCACATCCTTTCTGTTGAAATTGTCCACATACTTGTGGATTTCAATGGCTTCTCTGTGTGACATGGTGGTTGTTAGCGTGGTCCAGCATTTCTGTATTCTCAAATAATATGTTCATCAAGTGCTCTGCTATGGCTGACTTCTCCAGTTGAATAAAGAACAACACTCAGGAAACTGGGTGTTGAGTACCCAGAAAACTGTGTCGAGCCCCCAGGGGTGCAATGAGTTAAACCGTTGTGCCGCAGGAACTGCTAACCGACAAGTCAGCAGTTCAAATCCAATGAGAGCGGGTTGAGCTCCCTCTGTCATCTTCAGCTCCACGTGCAAGGACATGAGAGAAGCCTCCTACAAGGATGGTAAAAAACATCAAACATCAGGGCATTCTCTGGGCAACGTCCTTGCAGACCACCAATTCTCTTGCAGTTTCTCAAGTCGCTCCTGATACAAAAAAAAAAACCCTTTTGTGTTATACTTGCGCAAAAAGAATGTGCCTAGTAAGCTTTGGAACTGTGGTGCTGGAGGAAAGTTTTGAGAATGCCTTGGACTACGAGAAGATCCAACCAGTCGATACTTCAGGAAGTAAAGCCTGAAGGCTCATTGGAGGGAAGAATAGTAGTGGCAAAGATGAAGTACTTTGGCCACATCAGGAGAAGACAGAAAAGCTTAGAGAAGACAATGATGCTGGGGAAAATGGAAAGAAAAAGGAAGAGGGGCCGAACAAGGGCAAAATGGATGGATGGGATCCTTGAAGTGACTGGATTGACCTTGAAGGAGCTGAGGGTGATGATGGCCAACAGGGGAGCTCTGCCGTGGGCTGGTCCATGGGGTCACGAAGAGTCGGAAACGACTGAACAAATGAACAACAACAACAACCTGATGATGACATAGCCCCATCAATATATATGGTGCTGTACAAAAGTATCCCCACCCTTTCTGGAGTGTTCCTTTAGGTGCCTATCATTATACATACTGTTCCAGAGGTCACCATTGCAAAGGAGAGAATATAATACACTGCATTTTGGACTGATCTTATTGCTCAGCAAGAAACAAAGAAAGCAAAAGACGAGCCTCAAGTAGCAAAGAAATCCACAGAGTCCAATTGGTTCATGTAAGATACCATTTAATCAAGCTGATCAACATGAGACGGACAGAAGCACTTCTGTTTGTGCTTTCAAAGACTGCCTGCACCGTCTCTTGAAATCTGCATATCTTTATACCCCAATGCAAAAGGGAAAGTACCACCAACATCAATTTTAACCTTTTACTGTGAGATCAACAATTTTAACCTTTAACAGAAGAATACTTTTTTCTTTTCATGGAAAGTACTCTCTTTCCAGCCCCCTCTTCCTTGACCTTTTGACAAAAAGTACCTTCTTGTAACCTTTGAAGTTAACCACAATACCACATCCTATGTAACACAGTACCTTCTTGTTTCTTAAAGACGTTTTCTTTGGTATTGCTATTTTTCTACAGAGGAAAGGTGTCTTTTTTGCTATTAATTTAATTCAAAGCCCCTTGTTTAGCATCCTTCACAATCACAAGTGAAGCAATGACCAAGGTTTGAAAATTGTAGCCCTAGGAACCTTCATTTTAGAAGTCCACAAGATGGCCTTCCAGTTAAACTAACGTTTTAAAAACTCAAAAGAACCATTAAATAGCATATAGGGACAACACTGCATTTCAGAACATGCACATTCTATTTATTAAACATGGATGCATTTACGCAAGGAAGTACTTTCATCTTTACTTATTTCCTTCTTTCGAGCTACAGTTCATTGAGCAAGAAATCACCAGGCATTTATACCTTAAGGAAGAATGTGTAAAACAGTTGAGATTAAATTTTATTTACCCAGCTTTACAAACATTGATGCAAAGTAGTGGAGATACAGCATTCTAAAATAAATTAAAAGACTGATAAAATTGCTGTTCAAAAACTTTCTACTTAAGTATCAATGATTGATAATTCTACTTCTATCCCAACAATAACAAAACCTCCTATTTTTCCTAACAAACCTGGATTTTTCATTCGGCAGCCATTCCTTGCTAGCTTTCGACTTCTGAAACCAAAGCCTCACTGCTGTAACTCTAGACGGCTGCTGATCCTAAGCGTAGCATGCATGATATGAGCAAGAAGAGCAAATATAGCCTGGCACCAGCTGTCCTTCAGCAGATGACTTCTTGTGTGTCAGGGAGGAGAACGTCAGACCCAAACAGTCCTGAGAAAAGTTGGGGTTGAAACAAGCATGAGCAAACTTGGTCCCTCCAGGTGTTTTGGACTTCAACGCCCACAATTCCTAACAGCCTCGGGCCCCTTCATTTTATCCAGGTTATCTAAGCAGAAAATCCACATTATTTGATTTGAACTGGATTATCTTAGTCTACATTGCCATATAATCCAGTTCAAATCATATAATGTGGATTTTATACTGCTGTGTAGATGGGGCTTAGGACTCAGAGCCATGGGTTCCAATGACAGGGAAGGAGATCCCACCTGAACATTAGGAAGCACTTCCCCAGCATAAGAAGAGCTGTTCAACAGTGGAACTCTCTGTCTTAGACAAGGGTCCTCAAACTAAGGCCCGAGGGCCAGATACGGCCCCCCAAAGTCATTTACCTGGCCCTCGCTCAGGGTCAACGTAAGTCTGAAATGGCTTGAAAGCACACAAGAACAACAATGCTATCTTATGAGCCAAAAGCAGGCTCACATTTCCCATTGAAATACTAATACATTTATATTTGTTAAAATTGTTCTTCATTTTAATTATTGTATTTTAAAGTGTTTTTGCCCTACAAATAAGGTACGTGCAGTCTGCATAGGAATTCATTCATATTTTATTCAAATTATAATCTGGCCCTCCAACAGTTTGAGGGACTGTGACCTGGTCCTCTGTTTAAAAAGTTTGTGGATCCCTGGTCTTAGAGTTTGGTGGAAGCTCCTTCTGGTGGGGACGCGACACAGGGCCTTTTCTGTGGTGGCCCCCCGACTCTGGAACACCCTCCCCAAAGATCTTAGACAGGCCCCTACGTTGGCAGTCTTTAGAAAGAACTTGAAGACCTGGCTGTTCTGATGTGCCTTTCCAGAATAGGAATCTCCAATAACAAGTCCCAGAAGCACTTTATTAGATCTAAGATTGCTGGCACACTGCACTTACCCTAAAATCCGACATATCACCTGTCACATCAGCACTTTTAATCTGTACCCATTACATTTGGCCCGGCCCAGTTTTATTGTGTTTGGTGTACTGTTTTATTGTTCTGTTGTTTTGATATTGCTTCAATTGTTTTGATTTGCTCTGAGTTGTGTATTTGTTATGCTATGTTTTTGAGGCCTTGGCCTTTGTAAGCCGCATCGAGTCCTTCGGGAGATGCTAGCGGGGTAGAAATAAAGTTAATAATGATAATAAATAATAATTCTAAGAGGCTGGATGGTCATCGGTTGGGGCTGCTTTGATGGTGCTTTTCCTGAGTGGAAGAAGGGAGTTGGACTGAATGGCCCAAGCTGTCTCTTTCAACAGGAGCCTAGTGTCCAGATCTAGGGAAGTCATGCTCCCCATGCTCTATTCTGCTTTGGTTAGACCACACCTGGAATATTGTGTCCAATTCTGGGCACCACAATTCAAGAGAGATATTGACAAGCTGGAATGCGTCCAGAGGAGAGCGACTAAAATGATAAAGGGTCTGGAGAACAAGCCCTATGAGGAGCGGCTTAAGGAGCTGGGCATGTTTAGCCTGAAGAAGAGAAGGCTGAGAGGAGATATGATAGCCATGTATAAATATGTGAGGAAGCCACAGGGAGGAGGGAGCAAGCTTGTTTTCTGCTTCCTTGGAGACTAGGACACGAAACAATGGCTTCAAACTACAAGAGTGGAGATTCCATCTGAACATGAGGAAGAACTTCCTGACTGTGAGAGCTTCAGCAGTGGAACTCTCTGCCCCGGAGTGTGGTGGAGGCTCCTTCTTTGGAAGCTTAAACAGAGGCTGGATGGCCATCTGTAAGGGGTGATTTGAATGCAATATTCCTGCTTCTTGGCAGAATGGGGTTGGACTGGATGGCCCATGAGGTCTCTTCCAACTCTTTGATTCTATGATTCTATGATTCTATGAGTTGGCAACACATCAACTGAACCTGGCCTAGAGCTTGTTTAGAACATGGACCTTGGACTTGCAAGGCTCACGTGACTGAAGGGCAAGCCAAAACACCGAGAGGAGGCTCCGCCCCTTTACAACCAATCAGGAAAGGCGCCGACGGAGTGGGCGTGCCCAGAAGGAGAGTGTCCTCCTTGCGAACCTCAAACTCTGCGCGACGGCCCCTCCCCTTGAAAACTCACCCTCCAATCAGGAAAGGCGCAGCAGAGTGGGCGTATCCGGACTGACAGCGTCCTCCAACTTCAAACCACGCCCCTTTGGAACCAACCCTCCAATCAGGAAAGGCGAAACGTCCTCTTCCTGGCGGACATCAAGCCCCGCCCCTTTAGTACTAACCCTACAATCAGGAAGGCGCAGCAGAGTGGGCGTGTCCAGTCGGAGAGCGTCCTCCTCCTCGCGAACTTCAAACCACGCCCCTTTGGAACCAATCTTCCAATCAGGAAAGGCGAAGCGTCCTCTTACTGGCTGACATCAAACCACGCCCCTTTAGTACTCACCCTCCAATCGGGAAAGGCGCACACGGGAGTGGGCGTGTCCGGACGGAGAGAGTCCTCCTTCTTGCGAACTCTAAACCCCGCCCCTTTAGAACCAACCCTCCAATCAGGAAAGGCGCCGCCGATGGGCGTATCAAGACTGAAAGTGTCCTCTGCCTGGTGGATGTCAAACCACGCCCCTTTGGAACCAACCCTCCAATCAAGAAAGGCGCACACGGGAGTGGGCGTGCCCAGACGAAAGCATCCTCCTCCTTGCGAACTCCAAACCCCGCCCCTTTAGAACCAACCCTCCAATCAGGAAAGGCGCACAGGGAGTGGGAGTGTCCAGCCCGAGAACGTCCTCCTCCTTGCGAACTCCAAACCCCGCCCCTTTAGAGGCAACCCTCCAATCAGGAAAGGCGCACAGGGAGTGGGCGTGTCCGGACGGGGACTTCCTCCTCGTCCTGTTTGAGTGGCGAAGTCCCTCTGGCCATGGCGGATCCCCCTCCGGACAGCCTGGAGGGCTGGGTGGCGGTGAAGGCGGACCCCTTCGGCCCCGCCGAGCCGGCCCACAACCTCCGCTTCCTGGCGGCCTGGAACGGCGTGGAGGGCCAGTTCGCGCTCACCTGCCACAACCGGACGCTGCAGGAGCGAGCGGGACCGGAAGCGGGAGAGGAGCCCACCACCTGGGCGGCCTTGTTTACCCCGCAGGCGCTGAGGGGGCTCCACGGGCAGCTCTCCGCCTTGTCCCCGGCGCTGGAGGCGGCCTTCCCGGCGCTGCCCGAGGCGCTGACGGGCTCCCCCTCCTTGCTGTTCTTCCCCAGCCGCCCGGGGGTGAGCGAGGCCGAGCTGGAGGCGCTGTGCCGCCGCCTGGAGCGCTACCTGGGCTGGGCCGCCGAGCTGTGCGGGAGGAGAGCCCTGCTCGACGCCCTCTTCGCCTGCGACGCCCGGGAGGAGGAGCGCTACTTCGAGGGCCTGGCCGAGCTGCGCAGGAAGGGCCTCAAGGCCGGGCTGGGGCGCGCCAAGGAGGGCCTGCGGCAGGTAGGACCCCTCGGAAGGAGACAGGAAGGGAGTTCCAACTACTTCCGGCCTCATGCGTAGCCCTCCGTGGCTGAAAAGAGGCGGAAGTGTCCTCAGAGGAGGGAACTCCAACAACCACGCGGAGAAATTCCACCTTTTCTCCTGTGCAATAATTATTTGTCGTGTCAGGACAACCAGTCAATTTTATTACATTTCTAACAGAACAAAGCAAACAAACATAGAAAATACAGAATGTGTGAGTTTGGTAGTTGATTAAATGTCCTTTGACCAGTATCTGGCCACTTGGAGTGCCTCTGGTGTTGCTGCAAGAAGGTCCTCCATTGTGCAAGTGGCAGGGCTCAGGGTGCATTGCAGCAGGTGGTCAGTGGTTTGCTCTTCTCCACACTCGCATGTCGTGGATTCCACTTTGTGGCCCCATTTCTTGAGGTTGGCTCTGCATCTCGTGGTGCCAGAGCGCAGTCTGTTCAGCGTCTTCCAAGTCGCCCAGTCTTCTGTGTGCCCAGGGGGGAGTCTCTCATTGGTATCAGCCATTGATTGAGGTTGGGTTTGAGCCTGCCACTTTTGGACTCTCGCTTGCTGAGGTGTTCCAGCGAGTATCTCTGTAGATCTTAGAAACCTATTTATAGATTTAAGTCATTGACGTGCTGTCTGATACCCAAACAGGGGATGAGCTGGAGATGTCTCTGCCTTGGTCCTTTCACTATTGGCTGCTACTTCCCGGCGGATGTCAGGTGGTGCAGTGTAATGTCTCCAGTGGTGTAGGGCGCAAGCACCCCATGATAATGCGGCATGTCTCATTAAGAGCCACATCTACTGTTTTAATAATATAATAATAATCTATATAAATACAAATGTAATGTTCGTTTGTGGGATTAACAGAACTCAAAAATCACTAGATGAATTGACACCAAATTTAGGTAGAATATGCCTAACAACCCAATGAGTGACCATCACACAAAAAATTGATCTTGTCATTTGGGAGTTGTAGTTGCTGGGATTTATAGTTCACCTACAATCAAAGAGCATTCTGAATCCCACCAACAGTGGAATTGAACCAAACTTGGCACACAGGACTGCCAAGCTAAAAATACTGGAAGGATTTGGTGGGCATTGACCTTGAGTTTTGGAGTTGTAGTTCACCCACATCCAGAGAGCACTGTGGACTCAAACAATGATGGATCTGGACCAAACTTGGCACAAATACTCCATATGCCCAAATGTGAACACAGATGGAGTTTGGGGTAAATAGACCTTGACATTTGGGAGTTGTAGTTGCTGGGATTTATAGTTCACTTACAATCAAAGAGCATTCTGAACCCACCAACAACGGAATTGAACCAAATTTGGCACACAAAACTACCATGGCTAACAGAAAACACAGGAAGGGTTTGGTGGGCATTGACCTTGAGTTTGGAGTTGTAGTTCACCTACATCCAGAGAGCACTGTGGATTCAAACAATGATGGATCTGGACCAAACTTGGCACAAATACTCAATGTGCCCAAATGTGAGGTGTTTAAGAGAAATACACCTTGATATTTGGGAGTTGTAGTTGCTGGGATTTATAATTCACCTACATCACAGGAGACAGGGAGAGAGTTCAATTACTTCCAGGCGTCATGCATAGCCCTCCGTGGCTGAAAAGAGGCAGAAGTGTCCTTAGAGGAGGGAACTCTGACAACCAACCTCATCACACTGCGAAATTCCACCATGTCTCCTGTGCTATACTAATAATATAATAATCTATATAAATAAAAATAATGTTCGTTTGTGGGATTAACAGAACTCAAAAACCACTGGACGAATTGACACCAATTTGGACACAAGACACCTAACAACCCAATGTATGTCCTTCACTCAAAAAAATTGATTTTGTCATTTGGGAGTTGTAGTTGCTGGGATTTGTAGTTTACCTAAAATCAAAGAGCATTCTGAACCCCACCAACGATGGAATTGAACCAAACTTGGCACACATGACCATCATGCATAGTCCTCCGTGGCTGAAAAGAGGCAGAAGTGTCCTCAGAGGAGGGAACTCCAACAACCACGCGGAGAAATTCCACCTTTTCTCCTGTGCAATACTAATAACATAATACAGTATAATATACTAGCCGTCCCCTGGCATGCGTTGCTGTGGCCCAGTCTGGTTATCTGGATTTTTTTTTTTGTCGTGTCAGAGCAACCAGTCCATTATATATTACATTTCTAACAGAACAAAGCAAACAGACAGAAAAATACACATCTTGTGAGTTTGGTAGTTGGTTAAATGTCCTTTGACCAGTATCTGGCCACTTGGAGTGCCTCTGGTGTTGCTGCAAGAAGGTCCTCCATTGTGCATGTGGCAGGGCTCAGGTTGCATTGCAGCAGGTGGTCAGTGGTTTGTTCTCGCATGTCGAAATTCTGGGTTTGAGCCTGCCACTTTTGGACTCTCGCTTGCTGAGGTGTTCCAGCGAGTCTCTGTAGATCTTAGAAAACTGTAAATAAAGACATGAGAAAGTGTTGGTTTGTAATATGTGCAATTTCTTTCTGCTTGTGGGTAAACAGTATTTCTTGCTCTTTCTTTGTCCGTGTTGATGTGGAGATTGTCTGGTTTGCCTACTCTGGAATATCATCATCATTTAATAACTTATTAATCGCTCTCCATCCGAGAATGCTCCAGGCGATTTACAGCTAAATTATAAAAGATAAAATACATACATACAAAAATTAAAAATCAACAGAGATCGAATGCTCTAGTAAAAAGCCAGGTCTTAAGTGCGAGAGTAAAAGGTCCTAAGTCACGCATGGCTCTCATGTAGGGCGGCAAGGAATTCCACAAGGCAGGGGCAGAAATAGAAAAAGCCCTGTGCCTGGTCCTTTCCAAGTGCACTTCTCTAGGACCCGGTATATGGAGTAAGTCACATTGGGCTGGTCGTTGCGACCTCCGATGATGGGAGAAGGAGAGGCGGTCCCTAAGGTACGATGGACCCTGGCCGTAAAGAGTTTTAAAGGTCAGAACTAGCATCTTATACAGGCCACGGTACTCAGTTGGAAGCCAATGTAAATGTGCAGCACTGGTGTTATATGGCATTTCATGGGTGTTCTTGTGAGTAGCCTGGCTGCCGCATTCTGAACAATACGAAGCTTTCGGGTCGTAGACATCGGAAGGCCACATACAGGGCGTTGCAATAGTCCAGCCTAGACGTGACCGTGGCATGGATGACAGTTGCCAGAGCCTCGTCAGATAGGTAGGGTGCCAGTTGCCTCACTTGTCGTAGATGGAAAAAGGCCTGTTTGCTGGCAGCAGCGACCTGAGCTTCCATTGTCAGCTGTGAATCAGCTGTGAACATGCAACACATCATTGTCCTTTAGGGGTCCCTTTCCAATCTATGATACTATATCTGCGTGTGTGTGAATCCTATCTATCTATATCTGTGGTTGGAGGTGGACTGGATGGCCTTAAGTATTTCCTGTTGGTCATGGGGGTTCTATGTGGGAGGTTTTCCCCCAATTCTGTTGGTGGGGTTGAGAATGCTCTTTTGTCAGTGAACTATAAATCCCAGTAACCACAACTCCAAATGTCAAGGTCTATTTTCCCCAAACTCCACCAGTGTTCACATTTGGGCATATTGAGTATTCGTGCCAAGTTTGGTCCAGATCCATCATTGTTTGAGTCCACCATGCTCTCTGGATGTAGGTGAACTACAACTCCAAAACTCAAGGTCAATGCCCACCAACCCTTCTAGTATTTTCTATTGACCATGGGAGTTCTGTGTGCCAAGTTTGGTTCAATTCCATTTGGTGGAGTTCAGAATGCTCTTTGATTGTGGGTGAACTATAAATCCCAATAACTACAACTCCCAAATGACAAAATATTTTTGAGTGATGGTCACTCCTTGGGTTAGTAGGTGTTTTGTGGCCAAAGTTGGCGGCAATTCATCCAGTGGTTTTTGAGTTTTTAATCCCACAAACGAACATTACATTTTTATTTATATAGATTGTATAAAGGTAAAGGTTTTCCCCTGGGGTTCATGCTCATCTCCATTTCTAAGCTGAAGAGCCAGCGTTGTCTGTAGTCACCTCCAAAGTCATGTGGCCAGCATAACTGTATGGACCTTCCCGCTGGAGCGGTACCTATTGATCTACTCACATTTGAATGTTTTCGAGCTGCTAGGTTGGCAGAAGCTGGGGCTGAAAGCGGAAGCTCACGCCGCTCCCTGGAATCAAACCTGTAACCTTTCAGCCAACAAGTTTAGCAGCTCAGTGGTTTAATCCACTTTGCCACCAGGGGCTCCTTAATATATTGTACATACATATGATATTTATAATATTATGATGTAATACAATATAATAATAATACAATATATTAGGAATTGTGGGAGTTGAAGTCCAAAACACCTGGAGGTTGGAAGTTGTTTGCCCATGCCAGTTTTAGATTTTCCTGTCTAAATGGAACAAACTTTCAGACATTCCTTTATCACAACTCCCATCAGCTCTAACTGTGATGCCTTATGATGGAATTATTAGTCCAGCATCTGGAGGGTTATGTAAAAGGACACACCAGGCCAAATTCAAGTTTCTTTTTCAACCCTTTTGCAAAGAGTGTGACCTTTGTTGTTAATTTCAGGTCTTTTATTGCCTTGTTAGATCCTCCATCAGCACAAAGACACGGACAAGATGGTGGCCTTACTGGAACTCTATCAAGAGGAGGATGAAGCTTACCTGGAACTCGTGACTGTGGCCACTGAATTCTACCAATATTTATTGCAGCCGTTTAGAGATATGCGTGAACTCGCAACCTTATACAGACGAGAGATCCTCGTAAGTCTCCATGTAGTGCTTCAAAAAAAAAAAATCCCCACTCTTGAGCCTGTGTAAATTGGGTGAATGATAAAACTATTTCTTAATTCCGCATAAATTCTGCTAACAGGTCTATTGCTGAAGCATAATAATAATAATAATAATAATAATAATAATAATAATAATCCTTTATTTATACCCCGCTTCCATCTCCCGGAGGACTCGCTGCAGCTTACAAGAGGCCGAGCCCAAATACATCAATTAAAAACAACACAGCAATACAGACAAAGCATAACAACAATGACACTTGTGAAGTATCCCAACATGTGATCGAATTCAAAAGAGAGCATAGTGAACTTGTTTGCTATGTACTATTACTACTACTAATAATAATAAAATATTGAACTGCAAAGACTCTGACACAAGCCAGTAAAGGTGGTCCCAGTGGTGATCAGCACACTGGGTGCAGTGCCTAAAGACCTTGGCCTGCACTTAAATACAATCAGCACTAACAAAATTACCATCTGCCAACTGCAAAAGGCCACCTTACTGGGATCTGCAGGCATTATTCTTTGATACATACACACAGTCCAAGACACTTGGGAAGTGTCTGATGTGATCCAATACACAGCCAGCAGAGTGATCTTGTTTGCTGTGGACTCATCTTGTTGTGCTTCAAATAAATAATAATAATAATAATAATAATAATGATGATAATGATAATAATAATAAAGAGTGGGCACATTTCGTGGGCTGGTAATTATATGGAATCTACACAATTTGCACTTAGTATCACTCTTACATTTTTATTTAGCTGTTTTATAATTGCTATGAAACTATCTACCACATTCATTTCTTTTCAGTAGCTTTTTCAAGTAGGTGTGCTCAGTACACAGTCAATTTTTTTCCTTTCATCTAGTGATATTTTGGCTATTAAATTCCTATGGGGCTGACATATATATATATAAATGTAAAAAATAACGTAACTCAAAAACCACTGGACAGCAACATAATGTGGACACAAGACACCTATCAGGCCAACAAGTGACCATCACTCATAAAAACACTGAAAAACACAGCAGAAGAGTCTTAAAAGCCAAAAAATAAAAATACGTATGCGCAAAAGCACATATATACACATATATACACACAAAATACATATACACAGACTGGGCCATAGCAACGCATGGCAGGGGATGGCCAGTCTATATATATAAAAATGTAATGTTTGTTTGTGGGATTAACGTAACTCAAATTTGGTCGCAATACACATATCAGGCCGACAAGTGACAATCAGTCATAAAACACTGAAAAACACAGTAGAGGGGACTTTAAAAGCCAAAAAACCAAAAAATACATTACAATGCATGGGTAAAACCACACGTGTGCGTGCACACACACACACACACACACACACAAATATATATGTGCAAACACACATATATACACACATATGCACATATACACACATATATACACACATATACACAGACTGGGCCACAAAAACAAGTGGCAGGGGACGGCTAATAAATTATATTTAGCAAATTCTCAGAAGTGAAACCCAAATTTGTGGAGGGTCAACTGTACACGATATTTAGCATAGTTTGCTACTGTGCAAGGAGCACAGGCCAATATTCTTCCCAGACCCATGCACACTGCATGGTGTGGTCAGAATGTCCATTTGTACTTGGCTCTTAAGTGGGTTCTTTTTGCAGAAATCCCTGCAGGCCAACAAACTGGGGCCTAAAAGAGTAGAATCCTTACAGAAAGAAGCAGAGGAGTGGAGGAATCAGGCCGAAGAAGCTGTGAACTCCATTCAAGACATCACAGTCAGTTACTTCAAGGAAACCGTGACAGCACTAGCAGGTGAATAGTGGCAGACCGAAAATGCCTTCTGTTGTGAGGCAGCTGATTTGGTGGGATTCTTGTTGAAGGAAGAAGACAGCTCTGACTTGTGTTGCTACATCTTCAGAGATGCTTCCTTGTTGTAACAGTTCTAATTTAGTTCGGGCTATCATAGTGGATTTTGTCACATGTTAGCAAAGTTTGTGTTGATTTGACTGTTTTGTGAGCAGTGTTGTGGAAGATATTGGGACTTAAATTCACGAAACTCCCACTGGAGAGCTATTTTTTTTCTTAGTCTGGCTTTCCAATATCCTTGTCAAGGACATTGAGAAACTGGAATGCATTCAGAGGAAGGTTGCCAAGATAGTAAAGGTCTGAGTAAACGGAGCCCTTTTGGAAAATGGAAATCCCCGTAACCTTTTTGGAGATTTTATGACCTTTGGAAAGGGATGACCTTGTTAGAAGGTACAACCTTTTGAAAAATGATCCCATAACCTCTTGGTAAAAGCATGACCTGTTAAAAGTCATAACCTTGTGGGAAAATGGCATTCACCAGCATTCACACTTACAGCAGAGTTTCAGAAGTGTTCTTTTAGTTGCCCAAAAATATCTACTCTCCCTTAAAATATACTGTATATACTCGAGTATAAGCCTAGTTTTTCAGCCCCCTTTTTAGGCTGAAAAAGTTCCCCTCGGCTTATACTCGAGTCAAGGTTATTTATTACTTTACTTTGTTATTAGTATCATTTTATTACATGAATTATTTTAATATATTAATTATTATTATTATATTTACATTATTTTACTCTACAGTATTATTATTTTATTACATTTATTATTTTACTCTATTTATTATTATTATTATTATTATTACATTATTATTATTACCTTTTTATTTTACTCTATTATTACTGTTATTACTACATTTCCATTATTTTACTCTATTATTATTTTCATTACATTTATTATTTTACTCTCTTTCTTATTATTGGAAGAATACATAAACACATTTACATTGAAGAAGATTAATAATGATTTAATCAGAGCTGGACAGTCTTATCTTACAGTTTTATGTAAATATTCAAAAACATTTAACCTACTGATGCCTCAATTAATGTAATTTTATTGATATCTATTTTTATTTTGAAATTTACCAGTAACTGCTGCATTTCCCACCCTCGGCTTATACTCGAGTCAATATGTTTTCCCAGTTTTTTGTGGTAAAATTAGGTGCCTTGGCTTATATTTGGGTCGGCTTATATTCGAGTATATAAGGTATTTGCCTTTAAATCATGTTCTCAAGAGACAAAAATAAGTAGACTTAGTTAAAAGTAACATAGTTGGTTTCTCACAAACTTCATGTAGTCAGCATACAGAAACTTTTAATATCAGTCTGGTTACAATAATAATAAACTAATAAAACTTTATTTATATACCGCTCCATCTCCCCGAGAGGACTCAGAGCGGTTTCCAAGTAACATCATCAATACATACAGAGTAAACAACATAAACATAAGATTAACAAAACAATATAAGCATAAAAATTGTCACCATAACACACATATATTTATATAAAGTAATCCTGCCTGTTCAAGGCAATTTAAAAGGATTTAAAGTAGTTCTTTTGTGTAGGTAACACAGGGCATCTTTCTCATAATCAACAGTCCATAATCTAAAGCATCTCTCTGTTCTGAGATTCTAATAAAGTCTCTATCTAGCCTGAAAGTCCAATGGCTTCTGTACAGCATTCTATTCTTACTGAAGTCCAAAACAAACTGAACTGTTCTAAAATGGAATCTGAGTCCTGAACAAGCCCAGTTCTGATTACATGACAAGCAACCCCTCCCACTGCAAAGAGTTAAGGTAAAAATGCAAACCAATATACACATATGCAATACAGTAAGCAGTTATATACATAACAAATAGCTAGTGGAGGCTTGAGAAGGTTGCTGTTTCCAACAAGCCCAGGGTATATTTCACTTGAAGAAGACATAAACCATCTAGGAGCTTAAGATCGTCTGGGGAGGCCCTGCTCTCGATCCTGCCTGCCTCGCAAGTGCGATTGGCAGAGACAAAGGACAGGGCCTTCTCAGTAGTGGCCCCTCAGCTATGGAACTCCCTCCCCAGGGATATTAGATCGACCCCCTCCCTCCTGACTTTCCTGAAAAAGTAAAGACTGGCTCTTTGAGGAAGCTTTTGAGAATGCAGCGGAATAGATAACACTGAACCATGAATGATGAACATGGAATGGCCAGACGATGTTACTGGATAACAAGATAACACAGATAACAAGATAACACGGATGATTATATGCTTTAATGGTTTTTATTTATGTTTTATATTGTAATGTTGATTGTTTTTAATGACACTTTTATGAATGCCTGGCATTGAATTGTGCCAATCTGTAACCAACCTGGACACAGCATATTATTCGAGAACACAGAAATGCTGGATCACTCCAACAACCACCATGTCAGACTACACAGAGAAGCCATTGAAATCCACAATCATGTGAACAATTTCAACAGAAAGGAGGAAACCATGAAAATGAACAAAATCTGGCTACCAGTATTAAAAAAAACTCTAAAATTGGAACAGCACAACAACAGAGAGGAAACAAACAAGGACATCTAATCACCTCTCAACAAAAGATTGCTCCAGGCACTGCCAGGCAATCAAATGCTAATCAAGGTGGTCCGTTGAAACATTCACACCTAGCTCCAGCAGACAAGAGTCCTTTGTCCCACCCTGCTCATTCCACAGATATATAAACCCCTTTTTCCTAGTTCCAACAGACCTCACTGCCTCTGAGGATGCTTGCCAGAGATGCAGGCGAAACATCAGGAGAAATGCCTCTAGAACATGGCCATATAGCCCGAAAAACCTACAACAACCCAGTCTGTAACCTGCCTTGAGTTGCCTTATAGCTGAGAAAGGCAGGCTATAAAGATCATAAATAAATAAATAAATAAATAAATAAATAAATAAAATAGAGAAGTTACATGGCATATTTAAATACCTGAAGGGTTGTCATGTAGAAGATGGAAGGAGTTGGGGTTTTGTTTTGTTTTGTTTGGCTTGGTTTGGTTTAGCTGCTCTGGAGAGCAGAACAGAAACTATGGATTCAGGTGACAAGAATGGAAATTCTACTTTAAGAGGTGTTCAAATGAGTGATAGACTCTCATTCTTTGAAGGTCTGTAAACAAAGTTTAGATGGTCATCTTTTTGCAAGTGGTTTGCTTATGTATTCCTTCAGGACGGTGCTTTTGTGGTCTCCCTCACATAAAGTGGGATGGGGGGAGGCACATACACATACACCATCTTAATCTCATTGGAGAAAAGGTGGACTATAGCAAAGTGCATTATCCTGGAAGGCAACTCTTCCAAACTCTGTTTTAATATGTTTCTGGTGTTGTCATTGTTGCTGAGCAGGAGGAGACTCATTTTTTTCTTTCCCATTTCTTTTGGTTTGGGGTGTTTTTGTTCCTGGTGCATTTTACAGCGATGCAGAAGCAAATAGAGCAAGACCGGAAGCGGTTTGGCCAAGCTGCCTGGGCATCAGCTTCTCCAAGGTTAGAAAACCTGAAGTATTTATTAGCGAAAGAGACCCTTCAGTACATGAGAGCCAAAGAGCTGTGCCTGAAGCACAAAAGAGCCGACATCCAGAAACAGGTAAGGAATTGCTCTTGCGGCTTTCCAGATTCTCTTCGCATTAGGCTTGGTAGATGCTCCAAACTAATGCCACTGAGTCTAAAGAGAACAACACAGCCATTAAATTTCCAGCCTCAGTCTAGGAGTGCCTTTGGAGAGTGCGGTGTTGGGCTGAAATCTAACAATAGGTTTTGGTATTATTTTTCAACTGCTTTTTATTTTCAGTTGTATGTGGCACAGCTGGCTGGGAGTCAGCTGCATTAAGATCACTACTGACGGAAAGGTCATAAGTTCAAAACCAGCCCGGGTCGGAGTGAGTTCCGACCAATTTTGTGTAGCTTGCTGTTGACCTTTGCAGCCCGAAAGACAGTTGCATCTGTCAAGTAGGAAATTTAGGTACTCCTTATGCGGGGAGGCAAATTTAACTAATTTACGAGGCCATAAAAATCTCCAGCAAGCATGCAAAGAATGAGGAAGTACTTCATCAGTGTCACAAATGGTCGGTGAAGGGACAGCTCCCCTGGTGGCCAGAATACCCTCAAGAAAAGCTGGAATGTTAAATTGCCTCTGTGTCTGTCTGTATGTTGTGTGTCAATGGCGTTGAATGTTTGCCATGTATATCTAAATTGTAATCTGCCCTGAGTCCCCTGTGGGGTGAGAAGGGTGGAATATAAATACTGTAAATAAATAAATAGATAGATAGATAGATAGATAGATAGATAGATAGATAGATAGATAGATAATCTGTTTTAGATTTATTTTCATCACTGGCTATCCAATCCTTCTACCTTTTTAAAAAGATGATGTGATGTCAGAAATTAAGCCTGGCATCTACTTGGATGCGAAGTATGTGCTCTTATCTGAGTTGCATCCCCATCCTAACTGCTACATCTGAAAAGACCGCATCCGCAGTGTAGTATGCCGCAGGTGCTCAGTGTTCCCGCTTTTTTGGCATAGTCCTGTGATGGCAAATCATAACTGAGTAAAGTGCAGCGTTATTTAAGTTTAGCCCATCTTACACTTGCATAGTTTGTTTTTAGTAGTGTCTTGGGGGTCATAGAATCATAGAATCATAGAATCAAAGAGTTAGAAGAGACCTCATGGGCCATCCAGTCCAACCCCCTGCCAAGAAGCAGTAATATTGCATTCAAATCACCTCTGACAGATGCCCATCCAGCCTCTGTTTAAAAGCTCCAAAGAAGGAGCCTCCACCACACTCCGGGGCAGAGAGTTCCACTGCTGAACGGCTCTCACAGTCAGGAAGTTCTTCCTCATGTTCAGATGGAATCTCCTCTCTTGTAGTTTGAAGCCATTGTTCCGCGTCCTAGTCTCCAAGGAAGCAGAAAACAAGCTTGATCCCTCCTCCCTGTGGCTTCCTCTCACATATTTATACATGGCTATCATATCTCCTCTCAGCCTTCTCTTCTTCAGGCTAAACATGCCCAGCTCCTTAAGCCGCTCCTCATAGGGCTTGTTCTCCAGACCCTTGATCATTTTAGTCGCCCTCCTCTGGACACATTTCAGCTTGTCAATATCTCTCTTGAATTGTGGTGCCCAGAATTGGACACAATATTCCAGGTGTGGTCTAACCAAAGCAGAATAGAGGGGTAGCATTACTTCCCTAGATCTAGACACTATGCTCCTATTGATGCAGGCCAAAATCACATAGGCTTTTTTTGCCGCCGCGTCACATTGTTGGCTCATGTTTAACTTGTTGTCCAATCTTTTTCACACGTACTGCTCTCGAGCCAGGCGTCCCCCGTTTTGTATCTTTGCATTTCGTTTTTCCTGCCAAAGTGGAGTATCTCCCAAATTTGAATACTCGTGAGGTTGGGGGTGGGTATTGTTAGGGATTCCTCATCTTCAGAAGAGGAAGGGGAGCAGGGAAGTGCTCAGGAATTGGAGGGAGAAGAAGAATCAGACAATGAGGGTTTGAAAGTGCCCACATTTCTAGAGAGATGAAAAGAGACAGAGCACAGACGGCATTCAGCCAGAATAGCTGCTAAAAACGCTGAGCTAATTGGGAGACGCCCTACCACCTCCTTTGTGGGTAATTCAGGGCTATAAATCAGAGGCAGGAGTAGTCAGCTTTCCGCTGGTAACAACGACCCTGATACTGCTGTTTTCACTCCAATGGAACTTGCTTTGTGTCTGCTGCTAAGGACTTAGTTCATTGCCCATTGTCTGATGGAAGAATGGTATTTCTCTTGGGACTTCGTAAAATACTTTAATTTGTGTCTGGATTAAGACTTCCTTGCTTTCTTTTGTACTTTTCAATTGCATTTGCTTATCCGTTGTGTTTTTTCTTTTACTTTCAACATTGTCTAAAGGCTGTTTTTGAAGGGCAATTCAGGACAAGTTGCTCATATTGCTATTTCTTTGCTGGTGGGGAAGTGACTGAATAGGAACCTGCAGACTAACAACTTCATTCACTGAGACCCCAGTGGATTAAGGGGAAAATATTTTGTCTGCTATGGGCATATCCAGACATGCCTTTGATTCTCCCTCCTTTATGGCCATGGGTGGAGGGAGGGCTATGAAAATGCAACTGTGAATCCTGGATTTAGGGCCAAAAAACATTTAGTTCTGAGACCCTACTCTTTTACTGAGCTTGAAAGTGTAGGATCGTAGCAAAGAGTCCAGGGCACACCAGGGCCTGTGGCTGCAATAATGCTTTCTGCCACTTTGAATAATCCGTAGATGGAAAGTCTGAATGAGCAAGAAAATGACGTGGCTCAACTAGAAGAGCTAGAAATAGAGTACTACGAAACCCAGCTGGAACTGTATGAAGTGCAGTTTGAGATCCTGAAGAACGAAGAGCTGCTGCTCACTGCTCAGTTGGAGACGTTAAGGAGGCGGATGAAAGGTAAGAAAGCAAAGAATTCATTTCCCCCTATCAACCATCTCAGAGGGTAAGGTCTTCTGGGGAGACCCTGCTCCCCATCTCACCTTCTTTGCAAGTGTAGTTGGTGAGGAAAGGAGAACAGGGCTTTCTCGGTGGTGGCCCCTCGGCTCTGGAACTTCCTCCCAGTGAAATCAGATCAGCGCCCTCCCTCTTGGCCTTTGGAATGAAAGGGGAAACATGGCTGTGGGACCAAGGCTTTGGTCCATAAAGTAATGCAGTGCTAGAAATGGATATGGAATATGTGCAATTGGCAATCGGAATGGCTTCAGATTACGATTTTGGACTGTGTGGTTTTTAAATATAATAATAATAATAATAATAATAATAATAATAATAATCTTTATTTATACCGACTTACATGAGGCCAAACCCAACAATACAGCAATGCAAATAATCAACATATAACAACAGTAAGATATAAAAATAAAAAATACAAGAAACAATATAAATAAGGACATCAAGCAATGTAAAATCACAATAACTTAAACACAGAAAATAAATCACAGTGGGCTGCTAAGATGTTTTAACTCCATGTTTTTATCATAATGGCTTATTTTAATTGACTGTTGTTTTATATGGCATTGAATTGTTGCCTATTTGTAAGGCTGCCTTGAGTCTCCTTCGGGATGAGAAGGGCAGGGTATAAATATGGTAAATAAAGATTGCAGCCAGAGGTGGATGGCCCACTTTTTAATTATATATTTTATATTACATGTAATGTTACTAATAATATTACAGTATAATGCTATAGTACAATATAGTAATATATAATACCATGAGGTCACGAAGAGTCGGAGACGACTGAACGAATGAACAACAACAATATTGTGCTATGGTAACCATATAATATATTGTATTTACATATTACTTGTAAGCCGCTCTGAGTCCCCTTCGGGGTGAGAAGGGTGGGATATAAATATGGTAAATAAAGATTCCAGCCAGAGATGGATGGCCCATTTTTAATTATGTATTTTATGTTACATGTAATATTATAATATTATGTAAAATCAATGTGATGGAGCCCGATAGACTCCCAAAATTGTGCCTACTAGAACAGATAAAATCCCAACTACCGACCTCCTGGATTACACAACTGACAAATTATATAAGAAGTTGTGGGCTTCCTGTCTCCTGAGCCTCAAATGACCAAGTAAGAAAGGGTGCTATACAAAGAATTTTGGATATAGAAGCACAAAAAGATGTAGCCACCCTCAGTAAGACTGCTAATCTAAAATGGCTGAGTCAATATAAACGTACCTTTCAAACTGCTAACTACCTAAAAATGCAAATACCAAAACATCTCAGGGAGGTATTCACTCGAGCCAGATTTGATCAGCTCGAGACAATGGTTAGACACGGGAGATTTAACAGCATCCATTATAATGAACGGAGTTGTATCTGCGGGGCACCTGAAACTGAGGATATAGCACACATATTATTTGTTGATTCGTTCAGTCGTCTCCGACTCTTCGTGACCTCATGGACCAGCCCACGCCAGAGCTCCCTGTCGGCCGTCACCACCCCCAGCTCCTTCAAGCTCAGTCCAGTCACTTCAAGGATGCCATCCATCCATCTTGTCCTTGGTCGGCCCCTCTTCCTTTTGCCTTCCACTTTCCCCAGCATAATTGTCTTCTCTAGGCTTTGCTGTCTCCTCATGATGTGGCCAAAGGACTTCAACTTTGTCTCTAGTATCCTTCCCTCCAGTGAGCAGTCGGGCTTTCTTTCCTGGAGGATGGACTGGTTGGATCTTCTCGCAGTCCAAGGCACTCTCAGAACTTTCCTCCAGCACCACAGCTCAAAAGCATCTCTCTTCCTTCACTCAGCCTTCCCGAAGGTCCAGCTCTCACATCCGTAGGTGACTACTACAGGGAATACCATGGCTTTGTAGAGTTTATCAACAGGTGTAGGTTTAAGACCTTTACTATTTTATCGAGACTGGACATTGCTCTCCTCCCAAGAAGTAAGCGTCTTCTGATTTCCTGGCCACAGTTTGCATCTGCAGTAATCTTTGCACCTAGAAATACAAAGTCTGTCACGGCCTCCACGTTTTCTCCCTCTATTTTCCAGTTGTCAATCATTCTTGTTGCCATAATCTTGGTTTTTTTGACGTTTAGCTGCAACCCAGCTTTTGCACTTTCTTCTTTCACCTTGATTAGAAGGCTCCTCGGCTCCTCCTCGCTTTCGGCCATCAGAGTGGTGTCATCTGCATATCTGAGGTTGCTAATGTTTCTTCCAGCAATTTTCACCCCAGCTTTGCATTCATCAAGCCCCGCACATCCTCGCATGATGTGTTCTGCATACAAGTTAAAAAGGTTGGGTGAGAGGATGCAGCCTTGCCGTACGCCTTTCCCAATCTTGAACCCGTCTCCTGTTCCGTGGTCAGTTCTGACTGTTGCTCCTTGGTCCTTGTACAGATTCCTCAGGAGAGAGACAAGGTGGCTTGGGATGCCCATCCCACTAAGAACTTGCCACAATTTATTATGATCCACACAGTCAAAGGCTTTAGAATAGTCAATGAAGCAGAAGTAGATGTTTTTCTGAAACTCCCTGCCTTTCTCCATAATCCAGCGGATATTGGCAATTTGGTCTCTCGTTCCTCTGCCTTTTCTAAACCCAGCTTGAACATCTGGCAACTCTCGCTCCATGTATTGTGGAGTCTTCCTTGCAGGATCTTGAGCATTACCTTACTGGCATGAGAAATAAGGGCCACTGTACGGAAGTTTGAGCAGTCTTTCGCATTTCCCTTTTTTGGTATGGGGATATAAGTTGATTTTTTCCAGTCTGATGGCCATTTTTGTGTTTTCCATATTTGCTGGCAAATGGCATGCATCACCTTGACAGCATCATCTTTTAAGATTTTAAACAGTTGCAGTTTAG